GAAACACTTTCGAAATAGGTCTTGTGCATGCTTACGTCGGAAAACCCAATATCACCCCAAGCCTCACTTTCAAGGTGTGAGCTTGTGCATTTTTGCAAAAAAATATTCCAAAAACATTCAAATCAAAGGAAAGCTCACGTGGAAACATCACGGAGGTGGAAAAGATTCATGAAAATGTTAGTGCACAAGGGGCTTGTGGCTGAATTTTCAAATGACGTTATCCCGCTAAGGGCTCTTCGACAAAGAAACCGAAGCGCTCTTTTGATAGTTAACTTATTGGTTTTGTCTTCTGTTTGTGCTCTCTCCATTAATTTCAGCTTGCCATATATGCTTCTAAATGGTTCTTTTTTGGCCTGCGTCTTGTCAGAGACTGTAACTTCTAAACCCCTGGATGTATTGAAAGGTCAGTTAACGAAAGGGCCCTTCACATTTTTTTTAATGTTTTTTTTTCGTGTTTCTATTCTTTCTCAAAATGATCTTTACAATTTTCTTCGCTTTCTTTAAGGATCGCACAAACCGCCTCCAGTCCTCTCCAGTTCGTTTTATCATTTGTGTCTTTACACTATTTTGGGTTTGGGCCTCAGAAGAGATGCTGTGGCACAAGAAGATAGCCTGGTAATTTTAGTATGAACATGTCGTGATAAGATTTTTTCTCTTTAGTTTAATTAGTTTAACAACTATTTTCCTTGACTTTATATGCAGGAAGAGAAGAAAGGAAAGCTTCCATCTGGACTCGTTCTTCAGAGCTTTTCGTTTTTCTCCAACATTTCCATATGCATCTCATTTCTACTGCTTCTAATGTGTTCTTCCTCGGACTATTGGGAGCTGTGGGTAAGTGGTGTTTTAAAAACTATAAACAACCGCAACAGCAAATTGTTTTGTTTTTTTCATGAAGATTTTCTGTCTTTTCCCAGATTTCTTTTGCCGTTCTCCTATTGTTATTTCTGAGACCGGAAGGATTGCCTTATTTAAGAGGCATTCGTGTTCGGTTCACGCCAACCTTACCTGCGACAGTAGCGTTAGCTCTGTGTATGTACTCTCGGACAGTAACTGAAGCATTACCAACGCAACTATCTTTCTTCTCAGTTACAGGTTAGCACACATCATTGTTAATATTTGATAACCACCTGGTAAAGTATAATCGTGTGAAGGGGTCTGAGAACTATAGAAGCGTCATACTGGAATTCACAACCTCGGGCTTGCGGCGGCTGTGCCCTAATGGTTATGTGCGGAAGCAAATAGCAAATGATTTTATTTCCCATTTCCTTATCTTCTCATACTGTAGACTGTAAATTTAAGTAAATAGAGTTATGCCAAACCTAATTTCGTTTCCTATCGAACCGAACCTAGACCTTTCCATTCAGATTCCAGCGCGCTAACTGGCAACAAATAACAAAAAAAGCCGAGGGAAACCTGCCAAAAAGCTTGAGGAAGCAATAAATTGTTTCATTCTCCGATAGCAAGGAATAGCAGTTGGTGAACTTCTTCGTTCTTCCTTTTTCTGTTACGAGAATACAAGACATACATATCCTTACTTTTCTTAGTCCTGAACATTTTTATAGTTTCTTTAAAGTATTTTAACTTTATTCTACAGGTTACGTTTTGGAGATGCTTATCTTGGTCAGTTCCTTACCGACTTATGTAGTCTTAGTGTGCACGATATGGCGCGCCGGCGAGATGTCATTGGTTGAACAACAACTGGTTATGTTCACGGCTCCTAGCAACGTGGTGCTTTTGATTTACTGCAGCACTCTGTCGGCAAAAATCTTAGGCTTTGTAGGAGTTGCTGCAGTCTATTGGCTGTTTTATTATGTAAAGATTACTGAAAGTAAATAGAAATTTTTGAATTTAGAAATGCGCTGTTATCCACAATCTTTTAACTGCCTAGACACAGATGAACTGGTAAAGTCTCGTTAGTCAACTGTTATGATTGTCCATTTCAACGGTGCGATAAGCGAATGGGGTGATTTCCGCGTTGCTTAGAGTTAAATTGCGCTGTAGATATTCGGGTTATCTATTTGCTACATCATTGAAAGATCGTGGTGAAAGAGAAGAACTACCAGTGATCGTCATCAAGGCAATACGCCCCGTATTCTATTTTTGGTGTAACAAAAAACCCGCAGTTTGGTTATCTACTCGCTTATTTGGCTTTTTGTATGCATCTCAGAATTTCATTCTAAAAAGCTACACCACTGTGACAACTCATTTCCAGACTGTTTCATCTTCATCTGCAGTGAATCGAACAAGATCATCTGTTCAAGTTGGCAGACTGATTGACACGACATGTAGGTGCGATAATATGGTAGCAGTAATGCCAAAAAAAAAACCTTGCTACTTCTCTTGTCTTGCCTAAGTGTTGGAAATTAGGGAAAAGTACCTCTCCGTTCTTTCGGCGGTATAATGCACGCAGCATTTTGCGCGCGCAGCGTTCTACTTTTGAAACAAGGCGGTAAGGCCTTTTTTAAAGAAAGACTCCAAAGCTAACGTTTTGTTTACATAGCCTTAGCGGTACTATCATTACTGTTCAAAATTTACAAAAAGCGACCTTGACTTTACGGCAATTACTGATTTACAGGGAGATGAGGTGATCTCCATTATTTGTAATTATTTAATTCACGAGGCACGACGTCAAATGTACTAATTCGTTATTGTGACGTAGAATTAGTATTGCGAAACTTTTCTTCACATTAGGAGTTGAGTTGCAGTGCGGAGACAAAATTTTCTTATAAGAGAGATTTTCTACAAGGAGAAATGAAATTGTGGGTCGGGATTGTGTTCTTGGTTGTGTCGACACAACTGGGAATCAATGCTCGGCCCATTCCAAGATCAAAACCACTACTAAATGATGGTAGGTAAACATTCCTTGGGTTTCCTACTGAATAATATACATGAAAAAATTACTCAGTTCTGATTGGTTAAGATAAGTGTAGTTTTCAGGTAATTCAATATAGAAGAGGGTTAATTCAGTGCAAAGAAGTTACAAACCAGACATTCTGATTGGTCAATAATTAAATGCGAGCCTTGGATGTCGCAACATTTGGATACGCTGGAAATTTGCGAGCGAACAATGGCCGGCGTTTTGAGTAGGTTTTCTTTCGCCACCGTAATAGAGCAGCTGAGAAACAGCTCTAATAACGAAAACACTACCTTTTGGTTGTCGGTTTGGAAAAAGTGGTGTTTAGAGAAAGGAATTGCTAAGGAAATCGAAAATTACGAGCCGACCCAGCCTAACACTTTACTCGAGCCATTCTACGCCAAAATTAAAAACAAACATGGTTAAACCTCGCAAACGACGATTCCATTTCATCGAAAGTGATCGGACACAGACTGAACAATTCCTTGAACTGTTTCGCCGGACTTTGAACTTCTTTGCGTCTTAGAGATGTGAAAATATTGTATATTATTGTTTTGATTGTACGCGGTTGTTTTGACCGAACGCGCACTGTCACTTGCAGGTTTGAATAAATTATTTTTGCACTTGATGCGCGCGCTTTGCTTCTGCATAATAGGCCATTTTCCAGTAGTGTACTTAGTTGCTAAGCCTTTGATTTGGAGTGAGGCTGAAGGTGACCTTGTTGTGATAGAGACCAGTATCCAATTAGCATGATAACAAAGTAATTTGCATTTGAAAAGCACCCTTAGCCTCATTCCTGTTCAAAGGCTTGGCATCCAAGCACACAACTGTAAAATGGACTATTATGACAAGCTATCTCGTATTTTTTCATGTATATTATTAATACGAAATCACATGATTTTCCTCGTGCAATTTGGAATAAATAAGCACTCGTTAATTTTTTCAAAGACCACAAATTGCACTCGCCCAAAGGGCTCGTGCAATTTTATTAGTCTTTGAGAAAAAATTACTCGTGCTTATTTATTGCACTCGAAATCATGTGATTACCTATATAATAATAATTAATAGGTCAACCGGGTATATCGTCTTGTGGGGTCACCAACCAATGACTGGAGCTTATGAACGAAGGCCAATCATTGTAACATTATTAATTATAGAAAGTGATAGCACAAAGTTGGCAGACGTATCCTGCTTCAGGCGCAGGAAAATGTAATCGACAAGATCATAGCGCGAATTACTATGCCAGACATAGAACTTGGTAGGGCAAAACCAAAGTTAGTAATAAAAAACAGCTCTAATCGCCGAAGGTCATGTTGATAAAGCATTTTTAAATTCTAATTTCCTCATTTTTTATGCGGTTGGGGAGGGTACATCGAACACTAGGGGTGAATTTGTTCGACATAATCAATAATAAAAAGAGCTGCACGCACTTCTTTAATGGATCGCGCGACCCAAGTGATGCTAAAATTTTATTGAGTAGTTTATCTGAAGCAAAGTGACTAATAAAGCAACGACTGCTGAAAAGCGCTTGTGTTAAAACTACTGAGTTTTAAGTACTTTGCAGCCAGCTTTCAGCGTTTGTCCAGGAATGAAACAGTCGAACTGAGGTGTTCAAAAGATAGGCTGTATATCCATGTTAGACAACTGTCAATAGGCATAACCCTTGATGTAAATTCCCGACAACTTTCAATTTTTCAAAACCTTCCCTGATTCTTTGGCAAGTCTGTAGTGTTGCGACCATTGCTATGGCTCCATGGCGTTAGCCCGCGAAAGTCCGTGATGTGTACATACGTTTTTTTAACTCTGTTATTCTAAGTTGTTTAGTTTCTGATACTCTTACGTCGTGCGCGTAGATTTTCATTTCAAGGTAGTTAAAGTAAAGTACTCTTAAGCTCACGATAAGTCAGTTCTGGCTCGGCGAAATGGTATCAAAGGTTTCAAAGAGTAACGGTAGGGTTCAGAATAATAATTTACGTATGGCTGGACACTGACACTAAATTTCCTAAAGAGTAGTTAAGATGAAAAGCTATCAGCCAACAGTCTTCCACAGTCTGATGACGTCAGTTTTAGTCTCGATGGAAAACTTTCATAAACATCCCCGTTCTCAGGAAGACTTCTGTTCCTCGATACAGGAATTCTACAGGACATGAAACACCCTCCTGATAAAATTGCCCGTGGCACAGAAGGAGCGTTCAAAGAAAGCGAAGAACCAGATGATTATTTTAGATCTATTGATGAAGAGAAAAGCACAGACGAAGAAAAGATCGATGAATCATCCGAAGACCAGTCTTCCCTTTACGGTGAAGACATTGATATTTCAGATCGGAATAAAGATGATGCTTTTTACTATCGTCAAATAGAAGATGACATTGATAACAAAGGTATGAGTCAAAACGATGATAATAATCATGATGACTCAGAATATTTTGAAGGTGTTCCCGATCACTCTGAGAATTCCGAGTGGAAAGAAAATGATATTGATGCCATTTTCGATTATGAAGGTAAGCCCCATGAGCCTGAAGATTCATGTCTCGACAATGAAAGTGACCCGGTGACTCTGAGGATTCAGGTTGAAATGAAGACGCTATGCATAAGTCATTGAATTCTTAACGTACTCTCGGAACTAAGAGTCATTAACATCACCTTATAAATAACCTTACAATGATGTAGCTCTTGATTCTGACGGTAAACTTCATGACACTGAATATATATACCAGAGTGAGGATTATACTACAGTTGTAATGACTTCCCTAGCATTAAAGGTAGGTACCCCGAAAATGATCCACCCCCGAATGAAGATGATATTAACGACTCTTTGCATGATAAAGGTGGAGCCGATGACGATGAAGAAGCCAACTGGACTAACGGTGATGATTACAACGAAAATGCCGAGTGGAGAGACAAAGAAGGAGGTGACTCTATCGATGGTGAAGGTAGGCCCCCACGACCTTGGAGATTAGCATCAGAATTGAGATGATACTAATGACTATCTTGGTGCTATAGGTGATCTGGATGACGATGAAGACGCAGAGTGGAGAGACGGTGATTATGATCACTCTATCGATAGTGAGCGTAAGTTCCGTACAACAGACATTGACAATGACGTTGATACAAATGAATCCCTAAGTACTTAAAGCAATCCCCATGAAACTTATCACGCAGAATCCACATCGGAGTAAAGATGATACTAATAACCCTCTTTGTGCTTAAGGTGAGCCCAATGACGATGAAGATGCCAAGTGGAGCGACGGTGATGACTTAATCAACAGTGAAGGTAAGCCCCATGAAAGTACGGGTTTATATGAGAATGACACTGATGCTAATGATATCCCTGCTTAAAGCACTCACAGCTAACTTTTTGTTAAAGGTGAGCCGGATGTCGATGAAGATGCTGAGTTAAGTGGCGGTGATCGTGATGAGTCTAGCGATGCTGATGGTGAGCTAGAAAATGAGAATTTATATGTCAATAACGTCGATACTAATGACCTTCTTGGTATTTAAGGTGAACTCGATAGAACTGAAGACTCAACTGAAAACAATGATGATCCTGATGATTACTTCGGTATTGAGGACAAGCACAGTGATTATTCTGATGGTAAGCTTCCTGAAACTCAAAATTTTTTTATCAGAATAAGAATAATACTTATGTTACCTTTAGTACTAAAGGGGAGCCCCAGATAGTTCCACGAAACTTATAATGTTGAATAACCAAAGAGAGGGAGGACACTAACGTTTCTCTTGATGCTCTAGGTGAACTAGATGGCGATGAAGATATCGAAAGGAGTGAAAGTGAGGATGATGACCTCATCCATAGTGAAGGTAAGTCTCAGAAAACTTTTTCGTGGAGATTGACATCGAAATAAAGATGATACTAACGGCTCTCATTGTGCTAAAGGTGAGCCAGATGGCGATGAAGATGCCGAGTGGAGTGACAGTGAAGAAGATGACTTCATTGATAATGAAGGTAAGTCTTATGAAAGTAACACAAAGATTGACATCGCAATTAGGATGATGCAATAACTCTCTTTATGCTAAAGGTGAGCTGGGCGGCGACGAAGATGTCAAATGGAGAGATAATGACGATATTGACCTCGTGGATAGCGACGGTAAGACCCACTAAACTTATCATGAAGATTGACATGGGAATTAAGATGATACTATGGACTCTCTTTGTACTTAAGGTGAGCAAAATAGCGATGAAGATGCCGATTGGATAGACAGTAAAGATGATGACTTCATCGACAATGAAGGTAAGCTTAATGAAAGTAACATGGAGTTTGGCATTGGAGTTAAAATGATACAAATGACTATTTTTGTGCTAAAGGTGAGCCGGATGACGATAAAGATGTCGAGTGGAGAGACAGTCACGATGATGGCCCCGTCGATAGTGATGGTAAGCCCCATGAAACTTATCCTGAGAATTGACATCGGAATAACGATGACATTAACAACTCTCTTTGTGCTACAGGTGAGACTGATGGTGATGAAGATATCGAGTGGAGTGACAGTGATGATAATTCTATTGATAGTGAAGGTAACCCTTATGAAACAAATCATAAATTCCAAATCAGAACTAGGATTACACTAACGACTCTCTTTTTGCCAAAGGTGAGCCGGATGGCGATGATGATACCGATGGGAGAGACAGTGACGATAATGACCTCATCAATAGTGAAGGTAGGCCTCATAAAAATTACCCTAGAGATTCACATCATAATCAAGATGATGTAAACGGCTCTCCCTGTTCTAAAGGTGAGCCAGATGGCGATGAAGATGTCGAGTGGAGGGACACTAAAGATGATGACCTTATCGATAGTAAAGGTAAGCATTATGAAAGTAACGTGAAGATTAACATCGGAATTAAGATGATACAAATGACTATCTTTGTGCTAAAGGTGAGCCGGATGGCGATGAAGATGTCGAATGGAGAGACAGTGACGATGATGACCTCGTTGATGATGATGGTAAGTTCCCCGAAACTTATCCTAAAGATTAACATCGGATTTAAGATGATACTAACGACTCCCTTTGTGCTACAGGTGAGCGAGATAGCGATGAAGATGCCGATTGGAGAGACAGTGAAGATGATGACTTCATGGATAGTGAAGGTAAGCTTTATGAAAGTAACATGAAGTTTGATATCGGAGTTAAGATAGTACAATTGACTATCTTTGTGCTAAAGGTGAGCCGGATGGCGATGAAGATGTCGAATGGAGAGACAGTGACGATGATGACCTCGTTGATGATGATGGTAAGTTCCCCGAAACTTATCCTAAAGATTAACATCGGATTTAAGATGATACTAAGGACTCCCTTTGTGCTACAGGTGAGCGAGATAGCGATGAAGATGCCGATTGGAGAGACGGTGAAGATGATGACTTCATGGATAGTGAAGGTAAGCTTTATGAAAGTAACATGAAGTTTGATATCGGAGTTAAGATAGTACAATTGACTATCTTTGTGCTAAAGGTGAGCCGGATGGCGATGAAGATGTCGAATGGAGCGACAGTGACGATGATGACCTCGTTGATGATGATAGTAAGTTCCCCGAAACTTATCCTAAAGATTAACATCGGATTTAAGATGATACTAACGACTCCCTTTGTGCTACAGGTGAGCGAGATAGCGATGAAGATGCCCATTGGAGAGACAGTGAAGATGATGACTTCATGGAAAGTGAAGGTAAGCTTTATGAAAGTAACATGAAGTTCGATATCGGAGTTAAGATAGTACAATTGACTATCTTTGTGCTAAAGGTGATCCGGATGGCGAGGAAGATGTCGAATGGAGAGACAGTGACGATGATGACCTCGTTGATGATGATGGTAAGTTCCCCGAAACTTATCCTAAAGATTAACATCGGATTAAAGATGATACTAACGATTCCCTTTGTGTTACAGGTGAGCGAGATAGCGATGAAGATGCCGATTGGAGAGACGGTGAAGATGATGACTTCATGGATAGTGAAGGTAAGCTTTATGAAAGTAACATGAAGCTCGATATCGGAGTTAAGATAGTACAATTGACTATCTTTGTGCTAAAGGTGAGCCGGATGGCGATGAAGATGTCGAATGGAGAGACAGTGACGATGATGACCTCGTTGATGATGATGGTAAGTTCCCCGAAACTTATCCTAAAGATTAACATCGGATTTAAGATGATACTAACGACTCCCTTTGTGCTACAGGTGAGCGAGATAGCGATGAAGATGCCGATTGGAGAGACGGTGAAGATGATGACTTCATGGATAGTGAAGGTAAGCTTTATGAAAGTAACATGAAGTTTGATATCGGAGTTAAGATAGTACAATTGACTATCTTTGTGCTAAAGGTGAGCCGGATGGCGATGAAGATGTCGAATGGAGAGACAGTGACGATGATGACCTCGTTGATGATGATGGTAAGTTCCCCGAAATTTATCCTAAAGATTAACATCGGATTTAAGATGATACTAACGACTCCCTTTGTGCTACAGGTGAGCGAGATAGCGATGAAGATGCCGATTGGAGAGACAGTGAAGATGATGACTTCATGGATAGTGAAGGTAAGCATTATGAAAGTAACATGAAGTTTGATATCGGAGTTAAGATAGTACAATTGACTATCTTTGTGCTAAAGGTGAGCCGGATGGCGATGAAGATGTCGAATGGAGAGACAGTGACGATGATGACCTCGTTGATGATGATGGTAAGTTCCCCGAAACCTATCCTAAAGATTAACATCGGATTTAAGATGATACTAAGGACTCCCTTTGTGCTACAGGTGAGCGAGATAGCGATGAAGATGCCGATTGGAGAGACAGTGAAGATGATGACTTCATGGATAGTGAAGGTAAGCTTTATGAAAGTAACATGAAGTTTGATATCGGAGTTAAGATAGTACAATTGACTATCTTTGTGCTAAAGGTGAGCCGGATGGCGATGAAGATGTCGAATGGAGAGACAGTGACGATGATGACCTCATTGATGATGATGGTAAGTTCCCCGAAACTTATCCTAAAGATTAACATCGGATTTAAGATGATACTAACGACTCCCTTTGTGCTACAGGTGAGCGAGATAGCGATGAAGATGCCGATTGGAGAGACGGTGAAGATGATGACTTCATGGATAGTGAAGGTAAGCTTTATGAAAGTAACATGAAGTTTGATATCGGAGTTAAGATAGTACAATTGACTATCTTTGTGCTAAAGGTGAGCCGGATGGCGATGAAGATGTCGAATGGAGAGACAGTGACGATGATGACCTCGTTGATGATGATGGTAAGTTCCCCGAAACTTATCCTAAAGATTAACATCGGATTTAAGATGATACTAAGGACTCCCTTTGTGCTACAGGTGAGCGAGATAGCGATGAAGATGCCGATTGGAGAGACAGTGAAGATGATGACTTCATGGATAGTGAAGGTAAGCTTTATGAAAGTAACATGAAGTTTGATATCGGAGTTAAGATAGTACAATTGACTATCTTTGTGCTAAAGGTGAGCCGGATGGCGATGAAGATGTCGAATGGAACGACAGTGACGATGATGACCTCGTCGATGATGATGGTAAGTTCCCGGAAACTTATCCTAAAGATTAACATCGGATTTAAGATGATACTAACGACTCCCTTTGTGCTACAGGTGAGCGAGATAGCGATGAAGATGCCGATTGGAGAGACGGTGAAGATGATGACTTCATGGATAGTGAAGGTAAGCTTTATGAAAGTAACATGAAGTTCGATATCGGAGTTAAGATAGTACAATTGACTATCTTTGTGCTAAAGGTGAGCCGGATGGCGATGAAGATGTCGAATGGAGAGACAGTGACGATGATGACCTCGTTGATGATGATGGTAAGTTCCCCGAAACTTATCCTAAAGATTAACATCAGATTTAAGAAGATACTAACGACTCCCTTTGTGCTACAGGTGAGCGTGATAGCGATGAAGATGCCGATTGGAGAGACGGTGAAGATGATGACTTCATGGATAGTGAAGGTAAGCTTTATGAAAGTAACATGAAGTTTGATATCGGAGTTAAGATAGTACAATTGACTATCTTTGTGCTAAAGGTGAGCCGGATGACGACGAAGATGTCGAATGGAGAGACAGTGACGATGATGACCTCGTTGATGATGATGGTAAGTTCCCCGAAATTTATCCTAAAGATTAACATCGGATTTAAGATGATACTAACGACTCTCTTTGTGCTACAGGTGAGCGAGATAGCGATGAAGATGCCGATTGGAGAGACAGTGAAGATGATGACTTCATGGATAGTGAAGGTAAGCTTTATGAAAGTAACATGAAGTTTGATATCGGAGTTAAGATAGTACAATTGACTATCTTTGTGCTAAAGGTGAGCCGGATGGCGATGAAGATGTCGAATGGAGAGACAGTGACGATGATGACCTCGTTGATGATGATGGTAAGTTCCCCGAAACCTATCCTAAAGATTAACATCGGATTTAAGATGATACTAAGGACTCCTTTGTGCTACAGGTGAGCGAGATAGCGATGAAGATGCCGATTGGAGAGACAGTGAAGATGATGACTTCATGGATAGTGAAGGTAAGCTTTATGAAAGTAACATGAAGTTCGATATCGGAGTTAAGATAGTACAATTGACTATCTTTGTGCTAAAGGTGAGCCGGATGGCGATGAAGATGTCGAATGGAGAGACAGTGACGATGATGACCTCGTTAATGATGATGGTAAGTTCCCCGAAACTTATCCTAAAGATTAACATCGGATTTAAGATGATACTAACGACTCTCTTTGTGCTACAGGTGAGCGAGATAGCGATGAAGATGCCGATTGGAGAGACAGTGAAGATGATGACTTCATGGATAGTGAAGGTAAGCTTTATGAAAGTAACATGAAGTTTGATATCGGAGTTAAGATAGTACAATTCACTATCTTTGTGCTAAAGGTGAGCCGGATGGCGATGAAGATGTCGAATGGAGAGACAGTGACGATGATGACCTCGTTGATGATGATGGTAAGTTCCCCGAAACGTATCCTAAAGATTAACATCGGATTTAAGATGAGACTAAGGACTCCTTTTGTGCTACAGGTGAGCGAGATAGCGATGAAGATGCCGATTGGAGAGACAGTGAAGATGATGACTTCATGGATAGTGAAGGTAAGCTTTATGAAAGTAACATGAAGTTTGATATCGGAGTTAAGATAGTACAATTGACTATCTTTGTGCTAAAGGTGAGCCGGATGGCGATGAAGATGTCGAATGGAGAGACAGTGACGATGATGACCTCGTTGATGATGATGGTAAGTTCCCCGAAACTTATCCTAAAGATTAACATCGGATTTAAGATGATACTAACGACTCCCTTTGTGCTACAGGTGAGCGAGATAGCGATGAAGATGCCGATTGGAGAGACAGTGAAGATGATGACTTCATGGATAGTGAAGGTAAGCTTTATGAAAGTAACATGAAGTTTGATATCGGAGTTAAGATAGTACAATTGACTATCTTTGTGCTAAAGGTGAGCCGGATGGCGATGAAGATGTCGAATGGAGCGACAGTGACGATGATGACCTCGTTGATGATGATGGTAAGTTCCCCGAAACTTATCCTAAAGATAAACATCGGATTTAAGATGATACTAACGACTCCCTTTGTGCTACAGGTGAGCGAGATAGCGATGAAGATGCCGATTGGAGAGACGGTGTAGATGATGACTTCATGGATAGTGAAGGTAAGCTTTATGAAAGTAACATGAAGTTTGATATCGGAGTTAAGATAGTACAATTGACTATCTTTGTGCTAAAGGTGAGCCGGATGACGACGAAGATGTCGAATGGAGAGACAGTGACGGTAATGATCTCGTCGCTAGTAACGGTTAGCCTAATGAAACTTATCATGAAGATTCAAAACGGAATCAAGATGATACTAACGACTCTCTTTGTGCTACAGGTGAGCCAGATAGCGATGAAGATGCCAATTGGATAGATAGTGAAGATGGTGATTTCATCGATAGTGAAGGTAAGCTTTATGAAGGTAACATGGAGTTTGACATCGGAATTGAAATGATACAAACGGCTTTCTTTATACTAAAGGTGAGCAGGATGACGATGAAGATGTCGAGTGGAGAGACAGTCAAGATGATGGCCCCGACGATAGTGATGGTAAGCCTCATGAAACTTATCATAAAAATTGGCTTCGGAATAAGGATGATATTAACAACTCTATTTGTGCTACAGGTGAGACTGATGGTGATGAAGATATCGAGTGGAACAACAGTGATGATAATTCTATTGATAGTGAAGGTAACCCTTATGAAACAAATCATAAATACCACATCAGAACTAGGATTACACTAACGACTCTCTTTTTGCCAAAGGTGAGCCGGATGACAATGCAGATACCGATGGGAGAGACCGTGAAGATAATGACCTCATCGATAGTGAAGGTAAACCTAATGAAAGTTACCATGAAGATTCACATCGTAATCAAGATGATGTAAACGACTCTCCCTGTTATAAAGGTGAGCCAGATGGCGATGAAGATGTTGAGTGGAGAGACATTGAAGATGATGACCTCATTGATAGTGAAGGTAAGTCTTACGAAAGTAACGTGAAGATTGACATCGGAATTAAGATGATGCAAATGACTATCTTTGTGCTAAAGGTGAGCAGGATGGCAATGAAGATCTCGAATGGAGAGACAGTGACGATGATGACCTCGTTGATAACGATGGTAAGCTCACTGAAACTTATCATGAAGATTGACATCGGAATTAAGATGATACTAACGACTCCCTTTGTGCTACAGGTGAGCGAGATAGCGATGAAGATGCCGATTGGAGAGACAGTGAAGATGACGACCTCATCGATAGTGAAGGTAAGCTTTATGAAAGTAACATGAAGTTTGATATCGGAGTTAAGATAGTACAATTGACTATCTTTGTGCTAAAGGTGAGCCGGATGGCGATGAAGATGTCGAATGGAGAGACAGTGACGATGATGACCTCGTTGATGATGATGGTAAGTTCCCCGAAACTTATCCTAAAGATTAACATCGGATTTAAGATGATACTAACGACTCCCTTTGTGCTACAGGTGAGCGAGATAGCGATGAAGATGCCGATTGGAGAGACAGTAAAGATGATGACTTCATGGATAGTGAAGGTAAGCTTTATGAAAGTAACATGGAGTTTGACATCGGAATTAAGATGATACAAATGGCTTTCTTTGTGCCAAAGGCAAGCCGGCTGGCGATGAAGATGTCGAATGGAGAGACAGTGACTATGATGACCTAGTCGATAGTGATGGTAAGTCCCATAAAACTTTTCATGAGAATTGACATCGGAATTAGGATGATATTAACAACTCTTTTTGTGCTATAGGTGAGGCACATGGCGGTGAGGATCTCGAGTGGAGTGACGATGATGACATTTCTATTGATAGTAAAGGTAACCCCAATGAAACTAATCACGAAGTTCACATCAGAATTACGATAATACTTACAGCTCTCTTTGTGCTAAAGGTGAGCCGGATGGTGATAAAGACACCGATTGGAGAGACAGTGAGGATGATGACCTCATCGATAATGAAGGTAAGCCTCAGAAAACTTTTTCATGGAGATTTACATTGAAATTAAGATGAACTGAAGGCTGTCATTGTACTAAAGGTGAGCTAAATGACGATGAAGATGTCGAGTGGAGTGGCAATAAAGATAAAGACTTCATTGAAGGTAAGCCTTATAAAAGGAACATGAATATTGACATCGGAATTAAAATGATACAAATGACTATCTTTGTGCTTAAGGTGGGCAGGATGTCGATGAAGATGTCGAATGGAAAGAGAGTGACAATGATGGCCAAGTTGATAACGATGGTAAACTCTCCAAAACTTATCATGAAGATTGACATCGGAACTAAGATGATATTAACAACTCTCTTTGTGCTACAGGTGAGCGAGATAGCGATGAAGAGGCCGAGTGGAGGGACAGTGAAGATGATGACTTCATGGATAGTGAAGGTAAGCTCTATGAAAGTAACATAGAGTTTGACATCGGAATTAAGATGATACAAATGGCTTTTGTTGTGCTAAAGGTGAGCCGGATGAAGATAAAGATACCGAGTGGAGAGACAGTGAGGATGATGACCTCATCGATAATGAAGGTAAGCCTCAGAAAACTTTTTCATGGAGATTAACATTGCAATCAAAATTATATTAACAACTCTCCTTGTGCTTAAGGTGAGCTAGAAGGTGATGAAGATATCGAGTGGAGGGACAGTGAGGATGATGACCTCATTGATAGTGAAGGTAAGCCTCAGAAAACTTTGTTATGGTGATTGACGTCAAAATTAAGGTGATACTAACGGCTCTGTTTGTGCTAAAGGTGAGCCAAATGGCTATGAGGATATCGAGTGGAGTGACGGTGGTGATGACTCTATTGATAGTGAGGGTAAGTTCCATGAAAGTTAGGATTTCTCTCTCAATAACGCCAAAAGTAATGAGCTCTTGGCATTAAAGGTGAATTTGATGGAACGGAAGACCTTGATCACCATGATGATGATAGAATTGACTACTCTGGTATCGAAGAGGAGCTCGTTGAAAATGAAGATTCGAACCAGAAAGAGGATGATACTCAGGACTCTTTCGATTTTGATGTTAAGCTTTGTTAAAGAAGATGAGCTCCAAGGTACGGGTGATTCGAATCATAAAGAAGATTTTGCTAATGACTCTTTATGTATCTAAGGTGGTTCTGATGATAGAGATTGGGACCAGAATGAAGATGACTACTCTTTCGGCACTGAGGACGACCCTTATGAAAGTGAACATTCCAAACAGAATGAAAGAAATGCTGATGACTCCTCTTCTGAAGGTGAATCAAATGAGATTTTAGATTCAAATCATCACGTAGATGATATTGACAATTAATTCGAAACGATTGTAGATATCGTAGGTGCTCTCGATGCTAGAGACGACTTTCCAGAAACCGAAGCTTCAGATCCAGATACCGAAGATATTCGAAACGTCCCTAAATTTGTGGAGCATCACGCGCAATTTGAGGATACAGAGTGGAGTGATGATGATGACAAGGAGGGTTCTGGAGGCTTTGGAGTTCATAATAATAATGAAGGCATAGAAACTGCATGGTGGAATGACAACAATGAAAACACTTTCGATGAGTTTGAAAATAATTTGGAGGAAATCTGAAACTTAAAGTGGAATGAGGACTTTTCTTTTTTTTCATGATAATGATGTTAATTTGATAACTGTCAACTTGCTTTCGTGGAATCTATATTTGCGGGAGGGGGGTCTTTGATCAAGATTTTACAGTGAAGGAAATATGTGGCCAATGAATGAGTGGAAATTTTGGTTTCTTTTTCTTAAAGTACAACTCCTTCTTCAGTTCTGGTATTCATAACAATAAAACTCTTTGACAGGTTGACAACACAATTTCTCTAAAGTGTGATAATTCTCAACCAGTTCATGGATGATGGCCGATCATGCTTTGCGATCAATTTTTTGTCGTTTTCGCTCACTGCGTATTCACTGATCAAGCGCCTGACTTAGGCTATGGTTCAGTCGGCTTTAGGCTCAGCATCAAACATATTGTATTGCACAAATTTCATGTTATTAACGGTTCTCACTTTATTAGGAATACCATTCATGACCACGCCGAAAGCAAAATGATTATTCTTGTCTATTGCATACCCCATGCATTTTTGTCAATTTTTTCCGTGTTTTTAAGTTTTTTTTAGTTATTTCTCCCTCGTTCTCAATCCTTCTCTTCCGTGCGTCACAAGAGAATAGTTGCTCCCTCAATTCGTGGACTTTTCTACAGATGTTTTGGTTTGAGTTGTGCTAATTGTTGCCCAGGGAGAGCGAAGTGGTTCTGACAGTTATATACGTACACAAGCTCCTAATATGTCTAATCCAAACGAAGTACGAAACACCAGATAGACGACGCATTGGTGTTTTTAATTCGATTACTTTCCAAGAATATTATATCATATTTTTGCATTATGAAAGGTTAGTAACAAAACACAACAACTAAGGAAATGGCAGGTAACCATATATATCATGCATAGTGCAAGTAATCCAAAATATAAAGTCAGGGGCGCTCGTTTGTCGTAATCAAACTACACCGTGTTTTAAATCGGATAGATTAACAATTTATCGGCTGCTACACTTGTTTTTGCCGTCAAGTCAAAAGGTCAATATTGTATCGAAACATTGCACTCTTCAAAATACTTCGTTGGGGAATAATACTTTTCTTTTCCGGCATTAATTCAGTTACTACTGCAAAAGACTAATTTATTGCTAGAGACGACTGTGTGACATTTTTACCTTCGGCAATTTTCTGCACCATGCGGCGATAATTACGTGATAAAGGGTTACTAAGTTGAGGTAAACACCTTTAAAAAGAACTCTTATTCGATGTTATGTTGTTGAAGCGATATCACTAAGCCGGTGGAGCTCAGTTTCCTTGATCATGTAAAGGAAAATATAAAATATAATTCGAAGACGAGTGGGTGAAAAGGGAAATAAGAGAGTTTATCTTCCCCCTCACTACTCCAACGTTAGTCTTCGCTCAATCTTGCGGTTAACCACTCACGATAAACAATTTCTCACGCGTGTCACTAGGTGCACGGACCAATATTTATCATTAAGTGCGCTTTAAAATGAAGATTAAGTCACCATTTCAATATCAAAAATAGAAAGTAATCTTTTCTGGTGTCTTGCTCTGCTCTTAACAGAACCTTGTGAAAAGTAATGAGCATTTGCTTATGGACATCGCCGTCACTGTCATACGAAACCACACCCACTCGTTTCTAATCTTTTCCTTCGTCAAAGCGCCTAATTAGGCTACAGTTTTCAAAACAGTGAATGGAGTCCAATTTACGTCACGTCAGGGCATATGTGGCAAGGGAAAATGCTTAAAAAACTCTTAATGGGGAGTGCATTAATAGTCCATTTTTGAGCCCATTGGTGAGGTGATTGAGAACATCAGCACCTACATCGAACAATTTTAATGTGATATGCCTTCAGGGAATATTATCGCAGAATAGAGAAGCATTTTAACAGAGGTCTTATGCAATTCCACACAACTGAACTTTGGTTCAAGATTACACGAGAGTCGAGCTATACGGTAATTATTCACGCTAGCTTAAATTTCGTAGCCCTTAAAAGACTAATTGCTGTTGCACAGACTGTAGAGGAACTAGGAGCTTGATTCTCTTTGCAAAAACTAACTTTGATAAAACAGAAAATATGATGAACTCAAACCAGACGCAGCCAAATTCGACAGGAGCTTCAGATATAGGGACAGTAACAATTGTGCAAGTGACATCGTATGCGCTCATAACAATCCTCGGGACTGTTGCAAATTTACTGTTGTATGGTGCACTGCTGGGAAAAAAACAACGAAGCCCCAGCGAATATTTCGTGCTGAATCTGGCTTTTACCGATCTCATGACGTGTGCAGTTGGGATTCCGTTAGATATGGCCGAAATTTTAATCCAGCGTTGGCCATTTGGAGCCCTCATGTGTAAAGTTGTGTACCCATTTCAGACGGCTTTAATAGGAGTTTCAGTTGCAACATTGACATGCATGGCCATCGAGCGATATCGGGCCATTGTGACACCTTTCAAGCCAATGATAACAAAAAGAATGGTTAAGGTTGTGATATCCGCTGTTTGGTGCATATCTGGTGCTCTTGTGTCACCTTACATCGTTGTTCTTGAACATAAACGCGAACAGCTACAGTGCACCGAAGCGTGGCCAAGTGAGAACTATCCAAAAATGTTCACTATGTGTGTTTTTCTACTCTTTTACTCTCTGCCTCTGTGTATTATTGCCCCGGCATACATTTGCATTGGATTCAGATTGTACTCTGACGGAAAAAAGATGAAACGATTCAGCATTAAACAAGGTGCTGGAAATCAGTCGTTCCGAAGGCTGGTGAGGCAGCGAACAAGGACGAATGTCATTATTGTGAAAACGTTTTTGTTCGGTGCTGTAGCGTTCTCCCTGTGCTTGTTACCCTATCACATTATGTGGTTATGGGCTGACTTCGGAAATGGTGCTCACTGGAGTTATTTTGGAGATGTACTGGTGTTTGCGAACGCTTTGGTGTATTTCAACAGTTTAGTGGACCCATTTATTTTTGGAGGCACTGTGATACGACACAATTGGAGTAAAACATGTGCGGCCATGCTTCAAAGGTGCTTGAATATTCAAATGGTTAACGAACGGCGAAAGACAAACAACAACGTATCCCTAAAACAACAAAACTGCGATAATTCAACAAAAAAGCCGTACTTTAAGCTTCCAAACGCCCCCATTATTTATACTTCGTCCGTATGAACACGGATCATTAATCTGGCTGTCAAGTTATGTTAGTTATTTAGCGCTAGAGATCGCTTGAGTCGCCAAGCGAGTAAAATATATCGGTTTGTTAAACTTTTCGGAGCGTAAGGTATCAATGTTATTTTCTCTGAGGGCACAATTGTTGCGAAACTTCGATGTTAAGTTTAAAAAGCTGAACTTATTAACCTCTGAAAGATTAAACTAGGCCTTCGATTGCCAATTATTTTGGACCTCGCCGAGTAATCGATTCAGAGGCTTACGTTTTATCTTTGATACTACGCGATAATCCTAATAAAGAAAGGAATTGCTGCTGTTTGATAAGCACAATGATACCTTCTGCACTGATCGGGTGCATGTAGCTGTAAGTTACCTAAGGCCATATTTTGGAACGATAACATTTAACAGTTAACGACCTAAGGTATACCCCCTATTTTGTAACACCAACCGTTTTGAAATGGAGGTTTCATAAAATTTGGCGTCTGTTCTGGAAGATTTCTTGGATCCTGATGACACTTTTGTTACCAAAGGAAACTTTAATTGTTAAAATAATTAAAAGCTTTCCGGGTAAGATGAACCACACCATCCTGTTTCCTGAAGAACACAAACCGTTCAACTTGCCTGACGTAAATAGGGAGCATTCTCTTTAATCTCTATCTCGTCTGATTTGTTTTTTTATTCCAATTATTATTATTAATTTTTACGAGTTGAGATTTCGTGCTCTTTTTGTGCATCTCAGTCACACCGGTGGCTGATAATCAGGAATACATCATTTCACATTTCAAAAATCTTATTATTTTCATAGTTCGTAAAAAAGTGAACACAAATTTCCAGTTTTTAGAATTACTTAAATAATGTTTGAGCAAAAAGACGAGTATTTAAAATCAATTGTGTCAATAACCGACAATTTGATCAATCGTTGTCCTCTTTCAGAAAAGAGCTCCAGACTACAGTCTGTAGTACAAGGGTATTATTTGGGTGGGTGCAGGAGGAAAGCGTGCGAAGGGTGCTGGTAGGGTGCGTGCGCACAAGTACTTGTGACATACTTCGTCCTTGTAATAATCAAATCCGTCCTTCTGGACTCCTAAAGCAAAAGGCTCTTCCTGCAGGTCAACACATTCTTAACATTGCATTTACAGGTGTTGTACCCAATTAAGCCTAATTCACGTAGTAATACTTCAGCTGCTGAGACGTGTTAGTGCTAACTAATTTTTCACTGCCTACCAGAAACACGGCCGTCGGTGAATGTAGACTAAAAATATTGCCAAACCAGACGAAACATTACAGAACTATTCCGAATCAACTCAATTTTTTTTAACGACGGTGTCTCATGTATGATTAGGATAATACGATTTCCTCAAAATCATCCCTCATTCTATGTGGATTAATCAACTTATTTACTATTATTGTAGACCATTGAGTGCTGGAATTATAGATATGGTATTTACGCTGGCTGGAGCACGCGATCTGGGCTTGAACTGTTAATCAAACGCAAGCTACAAGTTATCGTGGGAAATGCCCCCAGGGCAAGATGGTTTTTTAAATCACGTTCTATTAATTATAGTTTTACATTGTAAATTATTTGAAAGACAGATTAAAAGCAAAGAATTATGATAAAAATTCCATGAAAAGATGATGTTTTTTTTATTCATGGTTAATCCTAACAAAGCGAAAACAAATAAACCAAAACTAAACCAAAGAAAACAAAATAGAATCTCTAGAATACCAAAGCCTTCTTTTCTAACATCGGGCAAGAGGATCACTGCACACAAAGCTGAGTATCCCGCCTAAAATTTTTCAAAGTCCTTGGTGTAACACAAAAAACCCCTCTGCAATCTTAACAGTGTCGTGATGTCCGTAAACGATTTGAAACAATGCACAAAAAGGTAATTTAGCATTATCAACTGCGTTGACGACGTAAATTGGCCACCGTAAAGAGTTTCAAAGCTGACGTTTCGAGCGGTAGCTCTTTGAAACGTCAGCTTTTTAACTCTTTACGGTGGCAAATTTACGTTATCAACTCAGTTGATAATGCTAAATTACCCTGTTAAAAACTCCCATTGACGCGGCACCAGAGTTTCTGTAGAAACTTACCCCTTTTATTCAATGCATAAGAAGGTACTCTTTCTTTGGAAACGGTCCAACAAGCGTAACGAGCGCTATCCTGAAGGAGCGATTGGGGATTCATGATTCCTTTACTTACGGATTTCAAATTCATGCATTCATATGCATTTGTGACGGCCCTATTCTTGATAGATATTTTACACCCGAGCCAATCAGACTTATTTGATCTTAGCAATATTTACCAAAATCCCTCACCAAAGTAGCAACCGCGAAGCGAAGTAAACAAAACCCAAGCAATCCTGGATTGTTCTCGACGCTCATTTTTGAGTAAATTGTGCTAGCAAGGAAGGTTATTGTTCGAGAAGTAACCACAACCCAAATTATCATGAAACTGAACAGACTAACATAATTCTTCTTTAATGACGTCTGACTGAGCTTGTGACTTTTTTATTTGTTCTTTGATTTGTCAGATTACATTTTCTCGGCAGATACAACACCTGCACTAGCTGACTGCAGTTTTGTGGGATTGATAAATTTAATACTTATATAGTTTGGTTCTGTAACATGTTTCCTACAGTGAGCACAGTTCAAAGTATAGTGTTTTGATTATCTGTGACCATTTCGCACCATTCTCTTACAGGGTTTCTCTTTCTGGAGGCTTTGAATTCTGTCTCGTTGATCGATTTTTGCTAGTCTTCATACTGGTCTACCTGAAAATTTATCAACGCGCACTCTGTTACTATATGAATTATTAAGCATTTTTTGCACACTATCTTAACTTAACTGTGATGGTGCATTCTGGATAGTTTTGCATGCACATAATTTTAACCTATCCTAACCTGAGTAAAGCTATTTTTAGCCAAGCGCCATGATTTAGTATTGTTTCTCAAGTGCTAGCCTCCCAAATGAAATATCTGATAGGCTACGAAATGCCTCTAAACTCTGTAGTAGGCATCATCGTCAATTTTTTAAAAATATTTGTGCGAGATGCACATCCGATTTTAGTACCAGTCCACTTGAGTTCTATCACAAATGCTGTTATCTTATTCGCTTCGCCACTCGCTATCTATTCCGTGATAGACGCTGAGTAAAGTAAATGGTCGAATAGTGTCGGTGCAATTGTAAACAGAATAAAAATACTGAACTACACAGGCCAGTCTTGTTCGGTTTTGAACGAGCAGTAAAATTTACACTAGAGCAATCAGCCTATTCGCACTCGATTTCTTTGCGTGATGGTTGATTCGGGCTTTGCTCTCACCAACTACTGAGTATCAAGCGAGGGAAATCTTTAGCCCATAATCTGATTGTTAAATAATGACTCTCACCCACACAGCCCAATATTCTTTGTAAGTTTGCATCATAACACCTATACTACCATGTCACGAGTCACCACAAGAAAGAGTTCGACAATTTCAGTGGTAAACTAAAAGAGTAGAATTCTATGGATAGATTTCGTACCGCAGTGAATTTATTCGGGACGTAACCATATATATCAAGACTGTTTTATATTTCATGTTATTTCAGGGATTTGATCTGAGGTATCAAACTACAGTAAATACTTACTGTCTTAAAATCCAATATTTCCTTCTCAACTCTTGTGACTAACACAGCCAAGTGGGAGAAGTGCCCCATAGCGAGGTTAAAACTTAAAGGAACTAAAGAAGGTAAAATTTCTTGACACTGATAGAATTTTAACAGAAAGCTAGAAAAAAAGACGTGTGTAAAGTGATATTCCTTTGTTCACTCAGAAGAGACATGAAGACCTATTGCACTTGAACTCAATAATTTTAATAACTTCTGTCGGTGATCTGATAAGGACAGGCCGATTTTCTGAGAACCGCCTTCTTCTCCAAATTCATTTATTAAGTTTAGACATGAAACATTGCATTGTAGATATGGCGTTTATCAGAGCTGAAGTATAAGCGACCTGATATTAGAAAGTTTATCAAACTAAAAATAATCTGAAAGTAAGAGTTGTTAAGTCATTGTGCTTCACCAGCAAACGTTGATATCGATGTTTCAAAGATGGAAGTCTGCAGGAAACAAAGTTTGATGTTTAACTCATTAAGAGATAATAAGGGTAAAAAGAAATAAATACAAACCAGTGTGCAAAACAAAGTGCGGGAAACAAAGGTTGATGTTCAACTCATTAAGAGATAATTTAAGGGTTAAACGAAATAAAAAAAAAATGACGTTCCATTTATTGGTCTTCAACCTCAACCGTGTAAATGTGATTTCGTTTTTTTTAAATATTACATCTCTTTGAATCGGCAAAACAGTCGATAACTTGGCATTCCTCACATGGTTTCACAAGTAAATTGTGACAGAAACGGGCGCCGGCCAAAAAAGGTTCGTTATGAAAGGAATACAGTTGTTTTTCTCTTTTCTTTAATCTACTGATTTCTCTACTGTTTCAAATCAATTTGAACAGCGTTGAACACTCATATCTGCGGTACTTTTGATACAGCACATCTCTGAGTTTTGGTCACATGGAGTCTTGTAGATCCCCTTATTCGTCATCCACAACACTCACCTGTCTTAAATAAAATGAAGCCACGTAAACCCCATGCAATAAATGATGCTTTGTTTAATTTGGAAATCAAAAGTTAACATTTATCACAAGGGAAGATAATTCCTACTACGACGACTTTCATAGTTCAAGTGGAGAGTATTGGAAATTTAAGGCAATACAACTCCAATTATATAGAAACGATGGTTTGAAAATGTGCTCATTTACAGACGCTCAAAAGAATGTGGGTTCAATGACTGTCAACCTAAGCCAAAGACTATGTTTGAAATTCATTTTAAATGGTTACTTTTAACAATACCTGACTAGTGGAGACTTCGAATAACGGCCAAATTAAGGGTCATTTCTTCTGTGTTGGTTAAATTTTTCTGACTTATATAGTGAGGGCTTGAGGGGTCTGACTCGGCGCCAATTTAAAGGGTCTCCTTTCAAGCAAGGTACTATATAACAGATCTATTCTCCGACTCCTTTGTTGAAGAGGCGGTCCAGTCTTTTAATTAAGTTTATCTTTTTCCAATCTCGTAAAGATTTCAGTCAAAGTTTATTGCGTCTGCATATGAATTATAAGGTTTTTTAAGTCAAAAGTAATGACCACGTTACTGACCGTAATGGCACGGTTTCGGATGTGTTTCAACACAAATTTTTTACTCAAATTAATCTATATATTAAAACTATATACTTAACTCTATATCATCTAAGTACTAAAATTAAGGGTTGCTTCTAAAGCTTAATGGTATCGAGCTTTTTGTTCAGTAGGTTACAAAATTCATCTAATATGCATAATAAATGAACAGGTGTAGAGCATTATAGTTACTCTTTAAAAATATTTGCGCGCAGTGCAGACCTGATATTATCTACTCATTCTTTGAACACAACATTCTCTAATGTTACATTTTGTAACTTAGTTTCCAAATAAGCTCCGCGTATATTGTTTCCTTCAGTATCTAATTCTTAGTAGGAAAGAGTTTGGCCAACGATTTCAGCTCCAAACTGAAAGAGAGAAATTCTTGCGATAGAACTGGGAACGAAACACGTTCAGGATGCTCACTTGGAAGGTGAGTATTGTATCAGGACTGCACTGCACCACATTTCAAGGATTCTTATGGCTACCAATCTGTAGTATATACTGTTTTTCTTCAAAATTACAATATTATTAATATCACCATTTAAAAATTGAATGAATATTTACGCGGATTGTTCCCGCTTGCAACACGAAAGGGAGAATACCTTTCATATCACCAAATTTAGGTTTAACCTATCTATTAAATAATTCCTTGTTGATGTTTCAAAATCAAATTATCTGGAAGTATATTTTAAATTGCAATGAATTACAATAGTTTTGGGGTACAACAAACCAAAAACAGGGACAAATTTCGACGTCACTCGATATAGAAATCTTCTATAGGAGCTTGATAGTCGAGAAATTCAGCATAAAACTTCTTGAAGGCAAGCCTGTAATCACAAGAGCAGATAAAACTCGATTAGTACTTTTAACGGAAGAAAGAGTGTCTATGTCCGTTATTTCAAGCCAAATGATGCCGGACTGAACTCAGCCAAACAGGAGAAAGCATTTCAGCAAACGCAGTACATCAAAAAGCCCACTGTCATTCGGCAACATTGTCTTGGCCATCATGAAACTGAAATGTTACCAGTGATCGTTGAGTCAAGCTAAGGGGGGCCAAAGTTATCACAAGTGACGACGATCAAGCCGTGGGACTGAATTATCCACATTAAGATCTACTTTAGGGGTAATCCATCTTAGGATTTCGTATATTTGAGGAACACCTAACAGATAGCCAACCCAAAAGGGCAAATGCAGCTTATGTGGACAAAAACGTTACCCATCCAGTCTTCTTCGTTTATTCTTCAATTAACACGAGAGATTAACTATAAAATAATTTAAGGAGGTTGACTCTGAAATAGAACCTCCAAAGAGGGTTTAGTTTCTTTGGTGTGTATTGTAGCTTGATCCACTCTTAAAGAAGATTAACAGAAAAATATAACATACAGAAATAAATAAAATAAAAAGATCTAGAAAACATTGAGAAACTCCCTACCCTACAGCATTTGCTACTGGCTCGGTCGAGTATTCCGACATAAACACGTGACACGCAAATCGGTGATCTTCAGGATGTTTCGTGATAAAGGCGAAGAATCTGGAAAACAGAAAAACTAGTCGTTAGAATGTGCGCATTGACTTTCAATTAAAAAAATCTGTAGTTAAAATTACGAAGAAAAAAAAGACTTTTCTAGCGTACCTGGCATTTTGTGGATGACAACCACAAAACGTTACATTCTTTAATGCAAAATAGTGAGATTGCGTTAAAGTTTCCTACGAAAAAACAAACAAACACTGTTGGGTTTAATATTTCTTTTCTTCATTTGGGAGAGGGTGGTAAAGGTGAAATAAAGCGGCATAAGCTACTCCAGAACATTCTACAGTATATAAGCATTACAGTAACAGTAACAAACACCCACCCTTGGGTAATAGAGATTGAATCCAACCGGTGAATGCTTCAACAACTTCAAAGATTTTATTTTCACCATTTTGGCATAACAGAATGCAACAGGGATGTTATCACCAGCCTCCTTGTTTATTTTTTCCTTTTTTTTCCAGCCAGAGCCTATCCCAGTTTCCATGTAGCATGAATTGACTAGGAGTGTTACTACTCCCCCTTGGATGGGATGCCACTCATCCTAAGGGTACCCTCCAGCATTTCATCAGGCTTCCCTGACAATTTGCTAGTACCCATTTATACTCCTGGGTGGAGAAGGGCACTGCTGGAGTATTGTATCTTGTACAACAACACTACACATTGACCTGGCCATGTCTTACACCTTGGACACTCAACCTAGAGTCCAGTGCACTGATTATTAGGCCATTGTATCTCCCAGCAACTGAACTATAACAAAAACCTGATTTGTTGTAAGAAAATAACTGTAAACCTTTCCATCCCTGTCAAAAAGTTTTCCTAGTTTACGTCTGCTTGATTTCTTATTAGATGCAGAGTCCTGAAATGATAGCAAAAAAAGAGATCACCACTGAATCCCTACCTTGTCACCAGCACAACATATAGCATTGTGTAAATTGCAAGAAATATATATTACAGGTTAAAATTCAGTCACAGGGGCAGATCCAGGAATTCCTGGTAGGGAGGGTCCAAACATCAATTTGGAAACACAGAAATCATTTCCTCTTAGGCCAAGATAAGCTGAGAATTATATCAAGACTTTTAAACAGATTTCAACACATTCAACATTCATATGTACACCATGCTGTATTCCCCTTAGAGAGATAGCAGTTATGTACCCATGCTTATGGTGATGAATAGTGCACCAAACAACAAGTCATAACCAACATTCAATGGACTATAAAGTTCAAATGCATAGTGTTATCCTTTTTGGGTAGTAACTGGTCAAATTTACCACTTGTAGTACCTTTTATAAACGGCTAAGATTGGTTGGAATTCAAGAAAATTTTGCTGTACTTAATATTAGGAGAACACTGTATGTAATGTGACATCTGCACTGTAGATAAACAATAAATACACTTTACCTTCCCTCCTAATGGACCTTGAGGATGTTCAGTAATTCTGATTCCTCTCTCACTGACATCCAGTAAACATGCTGGGGGTTTGGTAACTGATGTCAGTTGATGCTGTTTTACAATCTGAAAGGTGTTAAAAAATTATAATTATTATTATAATAAAAAAAGGTTTTGATGTATAGGACTCTGCAGACCCCTAATATTGGATCCCAACATCAAAGGTACACCATGTTACACAACCTATACAAAGGCCTGTTGAATTGTAAAATTTATGCATTTATGAATGCAATGGGTGCAAGCAGGATTCTTGAAAGTAGCTGATAGTCTTCAAAACAGCCTGGCAGTTCTTTTCAGGGGGGGGGGGGGGAATAAAAGAAAAAACAAGTGAGAGGTTCAGTAAGGATGGATCATACAAGCAAAGGACTGGTGTTCATCTATCACTTGCTTTTACAAGGTATCAGAAGGATCTGATGTTTTTAAAGATTTTGAGATACAGAGATGAATCCTTTCAAATGGAAAAAAGAAAGAAAACAAACTGTAATAACACTGGCAAAAAACTCAAGCATACCTCTCTCATAGCATCACATATGATATCATTTCCCTTGAAGCCACTCACTTCAACTGATCCGAGAAATCTTAAGAGTATGAAAACAAGAAACATAAAGTTCCTTCCAGAAAAGTGTTCAATAGATGTTTACATTGATTTCATAAACTTAATCACTCAATATATTTTGCAGTTAAGAAAAAAATTGTAACAAAATGATTTCAATGGCTTTTCTTCATGTCCAGCACTGTTTCTTTTACATCTCTATGAGCTCATGCACATGGAAAGTGAAAATTGAAATTAAATTGAGTAAGAGCATTGTCTACCTTAATAATGTAACAAAACCCCATAAAAAATTAAAATCTTGGGTCAAAGCTCTTGAGAGGTTCTTTATACAATGATTACCACTGAGGTTTTTTACATTTAACAGACTTGATAACTGTATTAGTATTTTCTGTACTGCTTATTTAGTAATTATTATCAAATGGCTAACCATAGGTGGTATGTGATAGACCATTAGGTAACATTCAATGCTTAATTAAATTATTATTTAATTATATTAAATTTCAGAGCCATGAAATTTGATCGCACATCAAAGATAATTCAATTTTAGTTTATTAAATATTCAAGTTCAATTCAATGGAATGTCAATTCCAAATTCAATTAAAAAAGAACTTATGATAAGTGGCCCAGAAGAAAATGATTACTGAGAACAAATCATTTTTCAGTTCTTAGGTTTCTAATTCATTCTAAATGAAACAACTCCTTGACAAATTTTTCATTTTTCATCTGCTAAAGTGTTAACACGCTCTTTAACTGAGAGCATATCAATCTGGTCAACTAATCCCAAACAGTACAAAGTAATATGTACATTACTGATGTGTAATAATTTCTTAAGCAATATCTTTTTAATATTACACTCCAAAAATCCACTTATAAAGACCACAATGAGCTCTTGCTGATTTTTTTTTAATCCTAGAAGAGTTTACCTGACAATACTCTCTAATTATAAATAAAACTTGGAATCATTTTATAACCTATATTGTAAATATAGAGATAGTACACTTGCTATATTTGAAATTAAAGATGCTTTCTCTTTCCATTTTACACCCAAATGTTACATTGTACATACCTGACACTGAACTGATTCACTTGTGTACCTCTTTTGGAATTGTCTGAAAGAGTAGAAAATATGTCTTGCTGACTGCTTTATTTATAATATATATGTTTAGATCATATATGCTCTTAGTAGAATTAAATAATTATTTTTGTAAACTTATTTTTTTTCAAAATTTGCTGACTTATATTTCTAGTCTTGATCATAGTAGTGGCAAAATTTAGCCTCGCAAGTGATTAGTTAGTGCTATGAATCTCCAAGCTGCCAGAGGAAAATAGCCCCTCAAGAACTTCATTTCCGACCATTTTTCTGGCTCTAGTCTGGTGTATTGTTAAAACAATTATTCACCTTAATGTCGGTGAAAATGAATAATTGTTAACTAATATTAGTCAATGAAGACTCTTAACCAAAAAAAATTTCAATTGAGATCACTTTGAGAGTTTGATTTATTAGAAAAATCGAGTTATGATAAATTTGCTTGCTTTGGGCCAGCAACAAAAGTGTAATTTTTGAACAAACATGCTTTGCCTTTATTACGTAATCAACGTCTGTTTTTAGAAAGGCTCTCTAGCATGCAATCCATTTATTTGTTTGTAATGACGACAACACCGATGTTGATGGCAGTAATTTGAATAATAAAGAAGTTACCACCTACATAATTATATGTTTCATTCATTTTAGGAAGCTGGTTATCACTTATTTGCTATTTGTTGTTATTTCCATTGTTTCCTAATCCATAAAAGCTGAAAGGAAATTGTTTCATTCTTTTCAAAGTTAAACAAAGAAAATAGAGTTGAATGTTAGACCCGAGCTATTTTTCTGACAAGAATATCACTCTAACCTTGAACGTCGCTTTCTCGCAAAATATCAGAGACGTAGCGAGATGGGAAAATTCCTGATTCGCCGGTCCGCAAATTAATCCCTACGAACCACAGATCTTCATCCTTCTTGTTCACATGAACCGCATCTCCAGTTTCCAAGCTAACTTCGTCGTCGTGTCGGGCCACGAACTTATAAAGCGCAATGTGGGTTTGTTTGATTTTCGATCTACCGAGGTCATCTTCCGAAGATAAAGAAGTATTACTGCTTCGTGATGAGGACGTACTCAGTCGTTTGGATTTTAATGTCACAATTTCAGCTGAATAATTAATCGACGGAGTCACTGGACTCTGGGATAAATAAAGTGACTTTGGAGTTGCTGGTAAGAGTCTTCTTCCTCTTTCTGTTTTTGGACTCATTATCTTTTGTTCGGAGACATTTCCGACATCTCGAGACTGCTTGACATGTCCGTTTTCTTCTACGGTCGAAGTTCGGCTTGTCATTTTATCTCTGTGATCCCTCAACACATCTTTGTTTTTAATGGTGAAAGTTTCCAATTGTTCCTTCAGGGTTTCTGTATTGTTCTTCGCATTCCCGTACAGTGAAGTTATGTTTCGACCAATTGTTTCTCTTTCACCTGTTCTTGCAAGATCAGAGTCCACTAATGTAGAGGCTGCCGAATTTAGCATCGCTCAGGGAAACTTACCTTTTGTACTTCCCGCTTGAGAGCTTGTATCGATCAACAAATATTGGTGCAATATCGGCTTGGCGGCAACCAAAAAATGACAACACTTACGTTTGAGAGGCGGATCGCGCGGTTTCCCTCCGTTTTTACCTCATTCACCGGCTCTTCAGAAGAAAGGGCAGACATTCTAATATCAGTGAAGTCTCAGACCCAGAGCATGTCAGCTGACTTTTCACGATCGGATAATGACTTTGAGGTTAATCTAATTGAATTGTAAATATTAACCAAACGACGGCATGTGGAGGAATTTAATTATGCTAGGTAACCTGGCCTAGCTTCATTAGCAACCAAGTTGTACGAATGTAAGCAAATTCGTGATGGCTTAATTTGATATTAATTGGTGGTCAAGGCTCAGTCAAAATGCAGGCCTTACCGTATTTACAAATCAAAGAGCCCAAGAGTGCTGTCTCTCCAGAGAAGAAAAGTTACAGATTGAGTTTACACGAAGTTTCGTCCAAGACAGCTCAGTTCAAGGACGGACAATCGAAGAGTGGAAGAAATGTCAACAGACCGGTGAGTGGTCTGCAAACATAGCAAATACGTGTTAAAAAGGATACAAAATTGGCTATACTTAATAATTTTGGATTTTACATGGAACAAAAATAATCTTTTGAAAAATTTACACCACATTATTCTCGAACTTTAGACACCATTGTTGATACAACAGTTTATCTGCTAAGTTTAACGTCGACTGATCACATTAGAAATTTTACTGAAATTTAGCCAATGTGAGCCTTGATTACTCGCTGTTAAGTCTCGTCGAGTACGGTTGATAAGAAGGTAAATATTGTGCATTTTTCTGTACAGCTGTTAGGTAATTTTTTTCTTAGAAATTTGCAACGCTGTAGCGCAGTAACTTTGTGAAATCAAACCAGTTAACAAATTAATATTCAACTTTCTTACCAAAGGTAAACTACTGAGACACAAACTTTTAGAAAAATTATAGGCAAATTTCTTTTGGTTTAAAGGTGTCGGTAAAATGCATTTTTGTCATATTTGGAGCTCTCTTAATTTACTTGGAAGAGATAAGTATGTAGCGCCCTCAGGGTTATTATTTAAATCTTGAACATTCTGTCTGTTGGGTGTTCTTGTTATTCAAATTTTTCTTTTACCCTATGAGGTGTATACAAAACAAAGCAATTAAATAGCCTTCAGATATTTCCATCTTTCACTTTTATGCATCTTGTTTTATTTCTAAATTTGTGGCTGAGAAAATCACATAGTATGTGTTGATCTACTAACTGTGTTTTGATGAACAAGAAAGCAGAAAATTTTGGCATATAGTTTAATCAACTCTGTTTCATTATGGTGGCTGAGAAAGGAGAGTTACATGCTGAGTTTCTTCTTAAAATATCGTCATCCCAGTGGGTTAGTATTTTGCAAATTAAGTTTTTAGTGTCTAAGGAGGTCCCATGTTGGGCTGTCGCTATTCTAGAGATTACTGATGACGTCAAAATGTGGTAAGAATAGGAAAATGGCATACAAGGTGCAGTCAAGTGTATCACTGCTGTTTGATATCTGTTATGATCCATTGTTGAACAGATGAAGGTCAATAAACTAAATTCATTCCATATTGACCTTCATCTGTTCAACAATGGATCATAACAGATTAAATTAAGTTTTTAGAGTCTAAGGAGGTCCCATGTTGGGCTGTTGCTATTCTAGAGATTACTGATGACATCAAAATGTGGTAAAAATAGGAAAATGGCATACAAGGTGCAGTCAAGTGTATCACTGCTGTTTGATATCTGTTATGATCCATTGTTGAACAGATGAAGGTCAATAAACTGAATTCATTCCATATTGACCTTCTTATATTTTAAGAAGAAACTCAGCATGTAACTCTCCTTTCTCAGCCACCATAATGAAACAGAGTTGATTAAACTGCTTTCTTGTTCATCAAAACACAGTTAGTAGCTCAACACATACTATGTGAAATAAAAAAGCAAAGAGTTGTTCATGGTGGTGTCATCAATGTGTCTGTCCTCCAGTAGAGGATTACTACGAAGCAATTAAAAATGCATGGATAATTAAGCTTAGATGTAGTATTGGTAGTCTCCATAATTCTTCTCTAGATAAAAAATTATATCTCTTAGATTAACAATAAAAGCTAAGTTTTCCATTTGTCTCACGATGTAGTCACATGTGATGTAGATCGTGATGTTTCGACTGCATAATGCTAGTCTTCTTCACATTGTCATTTGCTTGAAGAAGACTAGAAGTATGCAGTTGAAATGTTGCAATTTACACCACACATGACTACATCATGAGACAAACGGAAAACTTAGCTTTTATTGTTATTCACCATGATGAATAACCACAACCTTTTTTATGAAATCTCTCAGTTTACAAACTAAAACTTAAAAAAGTAATAAAGAGGTCAACAATAGTAAAAATATGTAAAAAAATCTAGATGATTTACATAAGAATTCTAAGAATGGTGTGTATTAACTTTGGGGCAATGACAAAATTTATTTCCAAAATTATAAATGTAATTTTTGATAATTTAACTCTCTCTTGTTACCACCATTTCAGAGTTGCAGCGGCAAAACTTAAATTTAGGTTTGCCTTCTATCAGTCAGCAGTCAGTACATGCACTTGTAACACATGACTTTCATTAGTAGACTAATGATTGAAGGGGGATAGGACATTGTCCTTGTTAAGATTCTACTAAAATATGACAATTAAGGGAAATCTGATTGTAATTGAAAAGATTAAGAAGAAGACAGAGAGGGAGCTTGCAGAACTCTCAGTTCTTCAGTTGTTACTGGTACATCATGGGCTAGTCCTCAGGGATACGTTTGCTTTCTTATGAATCTTGATGAAAGCCAAAAGTCTTAAGATTGAATTTAAAATTTTAAGATTCCCTTAAATTGCAAAGAAATTCATACAATTGAGGTTCCTTTGGATAATCTCATATGATTACTCTAATCACTATTTAAATGTAGCTTTCTCTTGAGTCCTGATTTACAAATGACTGTTCTTTACTTTTAAATTGTTCTAGGAATGTTCAAGGGAGAGCAATGGACTTCTTGAAGGAACAAGTAGCATTTACTTTGGTGATATTGCACCATATCGCACTCCTGCACAATCACCATCTCCAAGCAAAAGTTGCAGAAGACCAACAAGGAGTCAGAATCAATCATCTCTTCCAACGTGGCTGGATCCTCTAGGAGTCTGGCTACCCAGTAATAAGGTAAGAACTTCTCACCACCATACACAATTTCAGGCAAACTTTGGCAAAATTTATATTACAGTATAAAAGATCTGTCTTTGAAATATTCTGCAAGATTGTCGGTCTTAGAATGTTTTGAAGATCTGTAAAGGGCTGAAGATAGAAGTAATATGAAAGTGTTTCTGTTTGCATTTTTTCAGAAACATTTAAAAAATATCCATTCAAACTATGAGCAGCATTTCATTAAAGATGTTACATTGATTGTGTTAGATAGTGTGGCTTTTGATTTCTATAATAATTCATGTAATACTTTCTAGTTATGGAGTATTTATGCTGCAGAATGCATAAACAATGTTGGGTTGTACATTGCACAAATAATATCTAAATATGGTAAGCAATGCACTGTTGGTTTTGCTTTGTTTCAAGAAAATTGCCATAGTTTGAAACATAAGAAGATGAGAAGTTAGTTGGATTGAAAAAATTTCCATTAAAGAAAAGTGTGTCATTGAATTGATGTTTAAATTGTTTAAAATCCAACAAAATTTATATGGGAATTCTCTTACCTCCTTACATATCCTCTTGCAGGTTTTCTCACCCTGTCTTTTTCCATTCCTTTTGGATCTTTGTTGCTGTTACCAAGTGATTTTTATACAATAAAACAAACAGAGAATGGAGCTAGACAATTGCAGAATATAATAATTTTTTCCTATCATGATCATAAAAGGATCATACCTGAAGTAACTGTAAAAACTGTAGTGTCAGTGATGTTGATTCTTTCATTGCAGAAGACTAATTGCTATGAGACATTCATAAGAAATGCTGAGCTGTTAAGACGCACCAGTGACATGTTTTTGGTAAGCATAGGGTGCTTTTAATATTGTTAGAACTGAATCGATCATTCACGAACAATGTTAATGTCGACGTTTTTCCTTGTTGAATGTCGCAGTTAATGTAACAAGATGTAAGTGTTGTGGCGAATGTATATTTTTTTGTTTTCTTACGTATAGGTCGTATGGAGTAACTTCAGAATACCCTGCCACTTTGGTCCACCTCATTTATATGTGTCGTGAGGCTTTCAAGAACGAGGCTTAACAGAATAGATGCTATTCTTATTCAATGACATGTAAATGAGTGGCAGGGTATTCTGCAGTTTAGCCGGTCGTCTATTTCTGCACCCATTTCTTTACGCTTATTCTTTTCGTTTTTACACCTTTCGTTTATCCGCCATCATTTTCGCACTTTATGTAAATTATGCCGCCCTTCCTATACCATGTCTCACGCCCCTTGTAGCAGTGTGTTTTATTTTCGCGTTGATGTAAACCTTTTTCCCACGAGTTTTTCTTGTCTCGCCTATTACCTCAGCATTTGGTAAGTTTTCTTTTTGTCTCATGGTATATTCCCGTTTATTTTTCCCTCTTTGCAGTGTATGCTAGTATATTTTCGTAAAAGTCGTTTTTCGGTTCCTTAGGAAGTAGGAATGTACTTCTGCTTTACGTGCGTATTAAAGAGTAGTTAAGTAAACGTGTTTAATGGAATTGGGGCCCTTGTCTCTTTGTGTAAGTATTTATTAACGCTGATTTGTGTGGTTTTTTTTTTCGTTGTTAATACAGGATCCCTGTCCACATGTTCCAAGATGTTCCCACGAAAGGACGCTCTCTGCTCTTAAACGACAACAACGTAGGATGAAAACAGATGATGATTTGAGGAAACAAGAGGTTTGTGCTCTACATTTCAACTAAGTAAAATTAAGATACGTTTAAATTAAGTGAGACTTTAGGGGAAGTTACTCATCTCCTAAGAATTTACAAAATATAAAATCCGGGTAAGTCAGAAAAAATGAAAAGAAAAAAAAACAAAGCAAAAAAAAAAAAAAAAAAAAAGGGTAATGCTGAACTAAGAAAGAACAAAGAGGAATAAGATTGGAAAATATTTCTATGAATTGCAAATGGTGAACTTGAAAATTTAAAGTTCGAAACTCCGTGGAACTTTAGTTTTTTAAACCAATGGAGATTTTATTTCTTTCATGTCAGCGTCATAGGCGGATTGTCGAGAGAATTCAAAAGATTCGTGACATGTGGGATCAGTGGTCAAACCAAAGCAAGTCCTCAGGAACAGAACACGATAATAGACTGAACAACTTCAGGAAGAACCGAGGTAACATTGGTTTAGTCAGTAAACCAACACTAAAGATAAGATCACGAGAGCCAATGAATACATAGAGGCAAGTCATTTTGACACGACTAGGTTCAGCTTTACATCTCCTTGTGATTGGTCGAGGAAGTGGCGCGAATTTTCCCGTCTAATCGCAGAGTGAGGTGATCTGATTGCTTTCAACACACAACTGAAAATCGCTCCAGCAGACAGAGACGCGGGTTTATTGGTACCAAGACCCTAGCCTGCGGTAACGCTCTCATTGGCACCGCTGCCTGAGGATCTCGAACTGGTTCGTGTGCCTTGGTCTAAGAGGAGTTGACCAAGACAGCTTGCAGATCTTCCGCGCGGCTCTGCGAGACTCTGTGAGATGCACATGAAGTAGCGTCAGTAAGGCCCTTACTTTGTGCACTAGCAGTCCCTTTGCTGTTGTACAAAAGATTATGCTGCTATTCTATCTTTCAATTTTAACAACCGCCTTCAGTGTATTCTTGAGTGTTTCGTGCACTTTTATAATGATTACCCTCTCTTTCTTGTATTTAACAACAGATGGTTACGTCGACCCAGATGAAATTATCAAAAAGAAAAGAGAAGAAAGAAGAGAACGCGAGAAAATTATACGCCTCGAGCAAGCTAAAAAGAGGGAAGAAATATTATCCAAGCAACGTTTTAAACTTCCTAAAATAGTTGTTTCTCAGTACGAGGAGCCAGAGACACTTCAATACTCCCGACCACAAAGCCTTACAAACGAGAGACAGAGTGTGTTACCAAGTTTGGTGAACATTCCGAGTGGTCTTCAAAATCAAATCGATAAAGGAAATGATGAAAGCGAGGTGGAGTCCCAGGGTAGCAAAGGAGATTCTCTTGCGCTGCCTGAGTTAGAGAGCAGTTGCCAAGAACGGAATTATTTTGAGAATACACAACAGGGTGAAGAGCAAGTCGATAGGATATTGCCCGAACTTGAGCAGAAAGTTCCTACAAAGGCTGACACTGATGTTACAGACTCTATATCTCAAGGCATAGAATGCAGTGTTGAAACGGTGGAAGGAAAGAATGTGAAAACCCTATTAGATAATAACAATGTTGTGCGGTTGGATTTACAAATAGAACTTGAAAGTGATGTAGTTTCGGAAAGTGTAGATGCAAAAGTTGATGAACAGATTGTGTTAAATAGAAAAAAAGAAACAGTAGACACGGAAAGGTCTCACGAACAGCAAAAGGAGAATATTAATTCAGTAGACGTAAGTAGCACAGAGGCGCTTTTAGAGATTGAACAAGTTAACAACACAGTAGGGACAGAACAAGTTTACGAAACATTAGAGACAGAACAAGTAAACGAAACAATAGAGACAGTACAAGTTAAGGATACAGTAGAGCTGGATAGTATAGCAAGTGCTGAGACCAAGGAACAACCTCAAGAGGAGGGAATTCAAAGTAGAGTGGACAAGAAGGAACTAAGTGAACATGGTGAAGACAAAGAACAAATAAAGAAAATAGTAATGAATTACCTTGCACCTCCAAGTGTTCCACTGCTGGCTGGTGAGAATGGCTCTGATAATGGTGCTATAGGTGATGCAGATGATACAGGTAATCATGTAGTTGAATTAACTCTTGAAGGATCTTGGGTTGTTTTTTGGCTAATCAAAAATTGTCTATGATCAGGAGGAAGCCTTCTTAGTGATAGTTCGCAGAGAAGGAGAAACACGCTAAACAGGGGAGAGGAAACCAAAGGGAAACAAGGATGTAACTCTTTAAAATCTTATATAAAAGTTCTCAAGATGCGCAAATGGCCATGTATTTCTTTTATCATTTCTTGTCTCTTTTCATTTTGGGAATATCCTGGAAGGTTCAGTTGAGACCCCTCCTTGACTGTATTTTCTCTACCTTATACAACTCTCGACTTGACTTGCGCACACTCATCCGTTTTTGTTGTGGTCTGCAAATCTCTAGGCAATGCTGTTTTTACTGATTTATGAAACTGTTTTTGTCATTGCTTTGTTAATTGTCTCTCCACACTCTTAATTAATACGTTTATTTTTAGCTTCTTTGATGGGGGCGTTTATTCCCGTGGCACTGGGCGTTGGCAATGGCTTAATAACCAATGATGCAATGCGAGCCTCTTCCGTACTGGATCGTTACCATGTACCTAGCCAGGCACGACTAAATAATACCAAACAGGGGAAAAACAGTGGAGCCTGGAAACCAAAAATCAATGACAAAAAGCAATACCTAGAGGTGGACCTTGGAGCTTTGACGCTCGTTTCTCAGGTTTGTGCGTGTTTTACACAGTTCTGGTAACAATTAATACAGGACCTCGTAGAAAAATATCAGTTCAGTGAACCTTTAAATAGGATACGTTCTTCTACGTAATTTAGGTCGCCACTCAAGGTTGTCCCTCAGCTAACGGTGTTAAGACACAGAAGAAAGATAAATGTTGGGTGGAGTCATACGTTCTCGCCTTCAGCACAGATGGCTCAACTTGGCAACACTACACAGAGGATGGCGTGGTGAAGGTAATAATTGATTATAGTCCTCTCCATGTGGGAGCCACCTACCTACATTGAACTGCTGGGCTGTGCCTGAGAGTTCCCTGTTACAATTACGTGAACTTCTTTTTTGACGATTATGTGTGCAGTTGACATACTCAGAAGTCTTCTATTAGCAATACTCAGATTCACCTGAAGTTTTTTTCAATTAGATTTAAGTTATAATGCACTCTGTGTAGAACATGATTTGAGAGAACAACTAAGCTATAGGGGTCTTGGTTATAGAGCCTCATCTAAACACGAGGAAAGCTGAGATGATTCGAGAAGTTTATGCAAACCCGATATTGCGTCTCCTAAACCCGGTCGTGTTTAGATCAGGCTATGTAAACACGGGGAAAAAATCCTCTATTGGTTTTATAAATTATATCGCATAGATAATTATAAACACAGACAGCGTGACATCACAACCGTGTTTGCTTTCTTACATCTACGCGCCATCAACCAATGAGAGCGCGCGTACTATCTTAAATATTTTTTCATAGTAAATGGTAGAACAAATTTAGTTTTTCACGACTTATATTTTTTAAAAAAGAGATGATTAAACTTTTAGTTATATTTTGATTACTTTATACTAGTGTGCATATTACGGTAATTCTTTAAAGTGAAGAAAGAGAATCAGAAGAGGCAGCGTAAAATTTTTAAAAATTAAAAATGAGGTTTTAAAATGTTTCATTGTTTCATTTTCCACTTGTATTGCAGCCTACAGTCATGATTTAATTAAAATTAAACAGCATGGTAACAGAAAATTGCTAAACAATGGCAGGTATTATCACGTTACCCTTCTAACATACAGTAACATAGTTTAAGCATTTAAGTTATTGATATCGCGTATTTGTGTTTTACTTTGCTCAGTGTATAAAATATTTAAACCAACGATTTAAAGAAGAATGTGTACAGTATTCTAAATGTACCGCTCCCAACGACTTTGATAAGAATGCGAAATATTGTTTCATCAATTCTCCATTTATTAAGAAATTTAGAATTTGTGGCACAGGCCAAAAGAGTGGCTGCCTTGTATTCGAAGCTGAAGTTAATATACAGACTTTTAGGTCCGGTTATTTATACAGGGTTTTAACCCAAACCATGGTTTTACGCAATCAGTGGGCCTCACGCTCTCTCTCAAAGAGGGTCGATTTAATTAAATAAATGTTCTTACATTTTTAGCTTTCGGCACTCTTAACATCGTTTACATAAAAAGATGTTCAGACAAAAGGTTGAGCTAAATTGAGCATTGTTTAGGACGCGGTTTTGTAAAAAAAACGGCTAAACTTTGCTTAAATATTCGGCCCTCAAAATAAGAAAACTTGTAACAGATCATCCTTGGTTGAGTTAATACATGACACGGTCATCAAAAATCTGGGTTCTCTATCTTTTTTATTCATTTTTAAGTTACTTACACTATAGGATTTTGCTCAGTTATTTGGGGTTCAGTCAGACCGAACTTATTTATCTATAGAGATTTTAGTTACATCTTTTATTTACTTACATTGCGGAGTTTTAATCAGTTGTGTAGGGTTTACTTTCATACCCTCTGGTATGAATAAGAAAAGACAACTTTTCATTGCAGGTTTTCAGAGGAAACAGAGACAACAACACAGTTGTTATTAACAGCATTAAAAATCCAGTGGAGGCAAGATTTGTTCGGTTTATACCACAGTCCTGGAAAAACAGCATTGCCATGAGAGTTGAAGTATACGGAGAAGTTACAGGTACATTGATATGATAATTTTATTTTTATATATATATTTTTTTCAATGAGGTTGCGCGTATTATTTGTCAGAATCGGTTGGTCAGATGGGTTTATTCACAAAGAGGATATGTTCAGTTAGTAATAAGAACTGTCCCACGCTAACCCTGGCTCAATCATCTAATTGGTAACTTGCAATCACTTGTTTGAAGGATGGTTTTCAAATGAATTCAAGGAAAAGCGCTCGAGAAGGGCTTTTTTTTAAATCTTATATTAAACTATCTAATAAATGAGTTCGGACTACTCGTAAGCGCCACGCGCTGAGCAGGATAGATAGTTGTAATGATAGCACCAAGAAGAGAAGAAGTGTCGCAAACGAAGCAAGAATTGTGTTACATAGAGATGCAAAAAGAGCGCTTATGCTGGTCATGCATGATTTGTTGTCACTCTTGGTGTGCCAGGAGCGGATAGCAAAGGAAACGAGTAGTTTGGCTCTGGCGAAGGTGGTTTGAAAACAAAAAGATTGTTTGCTGTGGAAGGATAAATTCCCAGAACAAAGACGTTGCATTATTTTTGAATATTAAACAACCAAGCTCAGCAATTTCTTGACTGTGCTTTTGATAGGAAATATACCAACATTTCATAAAATAGAAATCTAAATTTAAATTATTTTCGCTAATGGACTATTAATTAAAATTAATGCAGAAAGGAATTTGCTTGTCAAATTGCTGTGTCGCTGATTAGTCGAGAGGATTGCGTCTTTACAGTGATTGGCTAAAAGATAAGTGATTATTGTTTTGCCAGTCTAAAAGAAAGGCGAGCACAACAATTGAACGAACAGATTAGAAGATCGTTATGAAGTCATTACATGCTTTACAATCGTTGGCACCTTCGTTTTCATTTTAGAGCCTGACTTGGAGAGAAACTCACCATCTCCGCTACTTGAAGAAGAGCAAGAAAAAGAGAGAGACTTCGTCCATAACGTTATTTTAGAGGAAGAAGAACAACCAGAACTTGAGGAATTTGTTTGTGACACTGAAAACAAGGAAGTGGTGGTGGAAGAGGAAGCCTGGGAAGAGGAAACTGCGCATACTGTTGTCGAAACAGCTTCACAGATTCAAGGTAGAGGTAAGTTTCAAGTTTTTATTGACAACATGGGTTGACACGAGATTTAGGATCTTGATTGTGTAAGTGAAGGCTTTTCTATTTGCGTTTCATTTGTGCATTGCCTTGCTTAGAAAAACCTTAAATATTATTGCTTCCGGGATAATTATGCTGATACCTTCAATAAGTTGAAATCGAAAGGAACTGCAATTAAGTCACTAAATGTTTATAGTAGTTTTATTGTCACTCTGATTGGTTTGGTAATTTTTTTTTTCGTTCTTTATCCTAATCTGAAATGAGCCAATTCACGACAAGTGCGTCTTGAAAATGAAGTCTGGATTATTTGACTTTCTAATTCACAATATATGCCAGTGCTCTACATCCTTGGTCATCCCAGTCGCTCATTAGTTTTCTATTCATTTCGATGTTATTTTTAACTCATCAATCTCAGTAATCCGGCTCTTATGGTTTCCCACACGCCTAATGTAACATTTCACAATGCGACAGAAATTGTTGTGTAAAAAAACCTTTTGATGATTGTGGATTCAAATGCAAACTGACTTCAGCTTTCCAGTGGAATTATCGGCGGAGGTATACTGCGAAACACACAAACTTCTCAGTTTCCCTTGCCTTAGACTGGAAAGGTGGCGGAATCAATCGTAAGCTACTCTTTCGTTCGCAGTCACCCAATAGTGGCGTTATTGAACCCTATCGTAAGTTCCGTTTGGTCTGTATCTTTTTGAAACTTTAGTCCGACGAAGTACCAACAACATTTCGATTAAGGGTCGGTAACAATGATTGAAGCAGCCGATATGATGGAGAAAGAGTTTTTGAAGGAAGCTCCTGTCGATGTTGAGTTGTGACGCTTGAAAACATTTTAAAAGATTTGGTTAAATTTGCGGTTAACATCGCAAATATAACTTTGGTTTTAAAGTATGCTCTTTCTTCTCTGGTTCAGCGAGTAGGCAAGATGAACGAATCTTGTGTTGTGATTGGCTATCCGAACGGGCAAGACTGGTTTATCGACTCATAAATACTTGAATTTATCTTCCCCTCGCTTGACTCCCACGAACGCATATGTGTTTTCCTCTTGGCTCTAAAAAGACCTAAAACTGTAGAAAAAATGGCAGCTTTCACGACATATTTGGCCAACGAAGAGCATATTTTTGGATGTTGTACAATTAACATATCTTTTTCCTGTTTTCTATTGGTCTAGTGGCTGTAATATCCCGGAGTTCATCGTTGGACCTTGCTGTGCAAGGTGAAAAGGTGCGTCCTTAACTAAATGCAAGATTTGTTCACAACATGTAGAGTACGCGTTTGTGATTGGTTTACTTTTTTACAGTTTAGGTCTAGGTATGAGGTAAATTAAAAATTAATAGTTATCGGTGTTAGTGCAGGAAGGAGGTTGTATTAAGGGGGTGTTGTGGTGCAGGGTACCAGTTACCGTGTAAAAGGCAATAGGGAAAAGGAGGCGTAGCTTATTGGTCTGAACCTCAGAATCCGCGCATTGTAACTTTTTCTTCAGTCTTCAGCCAGTTAAGGTAATCTGACAATTAGGCAGTTTCCGCGATTGTTGGACCACAACACGATTTTGTCAACAATTTTACTACTTCATTGTTTCAGCAATCGCCTAAAACCAAACAAAAATCCAAGAAGCCAAAACAGGAGAAACAGGAAGAAAACGAAGAAAAGAGGAAAAAGAAAAAGAAGAAAAAGACGAAGAAGATGGCGAAAGAAAGGAAAGTGAAAGGGCGTAGTGAATCTAGTCTTACTTTGTTGGAAGAAACCGAGGAGGAGGAAGAGGGAGCCTCGTCCCAAGAAGAGGAAGAAGAGGAAGAAGAACCTAAGAGAAACTCACCCATCATCCCTGAAATACCCAAGAGACCAGGTACAAGTCGATCTTTAACCGTCTGCGTTGCCAGCCATTTTTAACACACGTATGATTTTACAACGGATGTATTATTTGAGCAATTTAAGAAAGCATCCAGACTTAATTTGATGTATTCTATAAACCTTTAATAATTGATCGATTAAGTTAATCTTGATTTTAATATGCTATTCATGAGACCTTGAAGTTTCAAAAAAGCTAGAATTTCGTGGGGTTATGAAACTGGGTGTAACGGAAAAATCTTACTCCAAGGGGTATTTCAAGGCTCAAGATGAAAATTAAATTAAATTCAAGATGAAAGTTAAGCTGTTTAAGTTATCATTTTGAGTGGTATTTACGTAGTCGCATGTCATTTGTACCCTTCGGTTTGTTTTTCTCATTAGGCCTTAAATGATGTGTTCCGTAATTTTTATGAATTCAATTTTTCTCCATCTTTTACCCCTAGAGAGTGTTACCCAGATGCCGCCACCTCCTAAACGTAGCCTCAGCATGTTTCCAGTGAGGAAAGAGAGCTCTCAGGAGCCGGCTAAACCAGTCAGGCGACGTGCGCAGACAGATGACAGTATTCGCAACGAGCTGATGCGTCAACAGCTGGCGGAGGACAGGAGAAAGAAATTACTGGCAGCCACGGGAAAATCTAAGAGAGGGATTCAAGTGCAGAGCCCTGTCGTTGATAGTCACGGTGATTCTGCTCATTTAGGTGGGTAGATTACTTTATTCTGGCAGATTGTAAATTAAAAAAACAAAATTCTCATTCAAGTGATAAACTATCTCTTGCCCCGCAAAACAGTGAGAAATACCTGCTAGCATGGTTCTAAATTGTGCGGATTTGATGCTAAAGTTTTCGAAGAAAAAAAAATCCGCAGAATAAACGCAAGAATTTAACATACTCAGTCAAAAGAAAACCACTGCATGCGAATGAAACGTTTATTATTCTTCTTCGTAGATGTGTCTCTCCTCACTTGAAATATCAATCTACATATCGTCTACCCAATAACTGCCCTCTGTTTGGCTCGAAAAGTTAGTGGAGAATCTGGAAACACTAGATTTTATCTCTTTGTTACTCTTCTGTTGCTCAAACAGAAAATCGCAGAAATCAGTTCCGAGCAGAAATTTCAGTCATCTAAAGCCAAAGAAATTTGCACATGTCTCGGGGTAGTTTTCTAGAAGTGCTCGTGCTTTTGGTTCTGAAAGTGAATATTCTTTCGTTCTCTGGGGGATTTATAGAGGCTATAATGATTAGCGCCTAGATTCCGGATCGAAAGATTCCCTCTTTGATCCCTGACCCTTGACCAGATTGAGGACAGTCTTAGATTCTTGGACACGATGCAGTGCCTCTCAGTGCCGCGATGAAGAGCCTCTCTTCACCTAAACTAGGGGCGCAGCCAGGATTTTTCAAAAGGGGGAGGGGGGGTCACAATGTGTCAAACAGAGGGTACTCACTGGATTGTCATCTTAACCTCCACGCTGTGTTATACTTAATGTGACAACAAAAGGCTGACAAAGAGGGGGTCACGGGCACCCCAGGACCCCCCCCCCCTCCAGCCTTAGCTAACGTATGGGAAACCGTATAGAACATCAGGTTCAGGAGCTAGTGGGTTAAGGGGTAAGTTACTTGAAATGGATAAGAAACAATCCCCAAGCCTTCCTCAAGGGACTTGCCTTGAAGAAGTGTTGTTCATGTTATGTGAAATGAATGATTTAGAGGCACTTTCCCTTCTACTGAGATGAGTCAAAGCTCTACTTTATGTCCAGATACGTAGGGAAGCAGCCTTACTTTTTGAAGACCATCTAACCTTATGTCTAATTTTGCTTGCAGACGACTTTCTTTCAAAGTACTGCATCATAAGTGAAGGACAAGCTAATTACTACCGTCGTATTTTTAAAACCGTAAGTATGATGATTTGTCTCACACCTGCGGAGACATGTCTTGGATTGTTACATTCACAAAAGGCTGTAGTTCCTGAAACTTCAAGCTCTTGTAGCCTTGTTGATTTTAACACGAAATGTTTTCCTTTTATTTCTATAGTTTGATGAAGACAAGGATGGATTTCTATTTCCCGAAGATCTCCTTGAAGCCCTTGAAAGCGTCAATTCAAACCTGCTGTCGGACTCTCATATAAATTATATTTACCGAGTAAGTTATCTTGTATCCAACGAAATATTTTTATATAATAAGCTCAGTTATGCACGCAATCTGATGGGTTCTCACTTATGATCTATTGGAGGACAGACGCGTAGATGACGTCATCATTAAATCATCAGTGACACACTCGGCTGCGTCTCGTGTGCCACTTTTTTGTTCTTACCACATTTTGACGTCATCTGTGATCTATTACTGAACAGACGCACGGCAACTTGGAATCTATTTGTTAAATAGAGGGGACCCCAAACTGGGTGGGTACCCTGTGTTGAGCGGACGATAGCTACAGTCCTGTGGGTATTTGCACTGCAATGGTCTTGCTAGTTTCCTGATTCAAATGCGCTTCTAGCGTAACTGAGAATCATTCATTGGAATTGTCAAAGATGGAGTAAGTTATTTTTTCAGTTTAAACTAGAGCTGATGCTGATTTTCCTTTCCTCTTCCATTCGAAACTGGTGTGGCCATTGTTTTTTCGTTTGTCTAGGTACTGGAATTGTGTGATTGCAGCTTGGACTCTGGAGTGGATATGAAGTTGTTTTCCGTGATTGCTGCATTTTCTCAGCGCGTCGCAGTGTTGGAGTACGTAGCTTGAGATTATTTTCAAATTCTGTTTTTCTAAATCTTGTTCATTTTCATATCTTTACTGTATAGTAAATTGAATGTACTCACATGGTTTGCATTTATTCTGTCCCTTAGCGAATTTGCAAAAATATTGATTTCGAAGCTGGATTTCAGAGAATTGGATTTCAAATTGCAAAAATCAAAGGTATGACACAAATGATTCATGGAAGTTCGTAAAAGTTAAGGTACCTGAAAGTCAAGAATGCATTTCTGGTGGATGTTGTTTTGATTTTGTTTAGTTTTAGAATAGTTTACATGTAGCCGCACCCTACCCCCAAGGTGAAACGGAGGCGAGGGAACGCCTACGCAAACCTGACACTAATCGTGTTCCGTGACAGTACGGGTACGGCTAAACGTAGGCCAGTATTAGAAACGAACGCGCATAACCCGTTGGCAAGCTGGGAAATGCTGCCTTGTGTCGTAGTTAGATGAGAATGGTGTTTCCTGAGTCAATTGAGAGTAGTGGAATGAAAGGTGTGCTACCTCAGACATCCGCAGTATTGACATTTTTTACTTTTCTATTTAGCGGTTGTTTCTGTGCTATGTTGACGAAGCGACTAAGACCATCTCGCTTGAGGAGCTTATGTTAGGACTAACGGCTGGTGGTCTGTCAGATGATCAAAAAGAACAGACAATGAAAATCCTCGGCAGGACGGCCTCTTTGGACTTCTTGGACTTTTTAACATACATTCCGTTATTTATACACATTCATGATCATATTCTACAAGATCCACTGGGAACCGTTGTCTACCAAAGTATGTTGACAGTTTAGAGATCGCATGTGGTGCTCGTCCTAAATACCGTCAAGAGGTGACTTTCTTGGTTGTCCTCAACCAATCAGGAAACGCCACACAACACTTAGACGATGCTATTGCCACAAATCATTCTAAACTGCATCGCACGTTTTTTGACTTATTATCGGTAACACAGTCTTTCTGCTCTGGCTCGTGCTCTGATATCTTCTCAACGAGCGCAGTAGGAGAGTACCCATCATTCCTTGCGCACCTTTGTCACCCGCGTTGACTGCATTCGTTATGAACACGACAGGGGACGATCAAGCCTTGAACGTCTCCAACCGTCATCTGGTGGTTATTTAATTCTCGCAGATAGATTCGATGCATGACTTCCTCGATAGAAAAGAACCTATTGCTCAATGTAGCAGGGATACCTCGTTGTTCCTGAGGGATATGTTATTGTGGGTATTAGTTTGCTAGTTCATTTCGGGAACATTAGTTAGTTTATTTTAGCAATGTTTTGGGACTTACTTTCCCAGCTATGTTTGAAAACGTTTACCGCTTAGCTCTGGTAAATACTTTTTTCGCACGAAAAGGTCCACTTTGAATCGAACAGGCGAATGAATATATGCCCTGTGAAGTTACTCAATTTTCGTATGTCAATGGAAATTGCGAGATTTCGTTGGGTGTAAATGCGTTGAGGTATAATTTATAATTATTTATTTGAAGAATTTCTCATTTTGAGATTTCCCTCTGAACAAAGTCTTTAGAGAAATAAAGGATAAACAAGTTTTCACTGTGCACATTTGCCAACTGTCTAAAGATAGTCAAAAAAATTATTTAAGAAGACACCTGATGTAGATATACCAAAGCAAAGCAAAGAAGTATTCTACTTGTTGAACATTGAAGTGTTGACTTTTTTTTTGCATTTAGATAACTTTTAAGGGGACAAATTCCTGTCCTGAATGTAAGAACAGCCATCGTCCTTCCCGTAGTCAGCCCTACCCCATTCCAAAGACTCCCAACACACCGGCCCCCCAAAAAACTGTGAGGAACCTTCTCGGTGATCACCTTACTATGATTTGGCTGAATGTGGCAATCACAACTCAATACTCTTGGAGTCCGTCGTCACCAAGTCGTGCCAAAAGTTAGCAATTATTCCCCTTCCCGTCAGTAAATAGAAGTTGCTATTCACTTCCGAACTAGAAATCAGCGCGCGCGAACAACACTCCTCAGTTGTGTAGTATATACTGACCTTGGTTATCATTGGAAGCTGTTATGGACCTTTGCCAGCTATTATTGATCACCTCATCCCAGGTCCGTTCGTTAGGGTAAAATTCTTGGGCTGAGGATATCACGGACTTCAATGAATGTGTATGTGTCATCGTCATCGCGCAAGCTGGGAGGGGTTTGATGAAGTTATGAAAGAGGTAAAATTTAAGAGCCTGAAGGATCCCGAAGGTTTTACGAAGGGGTTCTGGAAGTGAAAACTTAGTAACCCAATGAAGGACTTGCAAAACTTACGAAGAGTAGCAGAAAAGGTCCCGAACAGTCGTGCAATTCGATTGGGGGATATCCATGTGTTCGCCCTCCCTATGAGTCCCCCTATGTCAGTTTCAATACTTCCCACTAGTCTTTGCGGGTGAACATATTTTACTCGGCAGCCATGCCTGTTATCCAGTAGTCCACAGGTTTGTACCGACTTTGGAAATAACTTTACCCTAAAATATCACATCAGGAGAATGATAGCCGTGTTTTCGTTTTCGTAATTTGGCCAGCTTTGTTCTCGTTGGTTACAGGCTATGCGGATTAAATTAGGAAGAAGTTATCCGCTATGTTTGTTTTCATACTGCAGGTGAGGTTCATTATCGTCCAAATCTTATTACCTCTGTAAACAAGGTCTTCAGAGCTATCTGTGCATGGTCTTCAGTTAGCATATTGTAAAATTGCAATGCAGGGTAGCATTTCCGTATGAACTCACTGTGTAGACAGCTTTTCGATTTAAGGAAACAATGGTGAAAACATGAGATAACCTTTGGGACCAATGCTTTGTACGGAAATCTAATGAGATAGTATCGAGTACAGTATGAAATAAGGTACTGAGCTGGATTGCAGAATTATTTTTGTTTGAATTTGAGTATACTGTTGATCAGTAATGAAGTCTGTATCTTACTTGTGAGTATTCTACTTGCGATTATTCCACGTAGGATGTCTGGCGAACAGAAGCCCCGTTCAAACGGTGTTGATAGTCGATAATGGTTTCAACTACCACAAACTATCATGCACTATCATCGATTAACTCAACTGTCATGTAGTTTCGGCATGTTCAAATTCGACTTGACAATATACGAATAGTTTTTGCCGTTTGAACGGGGAGATGATAGTAAACGATAGTTTTACAATCAGCAGATTCGCTAAAAACGGACTCAAGTCAAAATGGCTGATGGTAAATTGACTGTAGTGGCGATCAAAATTTCGTATAACGCCTTGTAGTTCATTTTTATTATCTGCTAGTAGTCTTCAGTTCTTCAACTTGCAACTTCCTGACTAAAATTTCACATGCCACCAAAATTGCTGACCTTGTGTGCATTAGTGTGCATCATATTTGAATACAACTTTGAATCCTCAAAAACTTTTCAAGTAATAACCATAAAAGAAGCAAACATTAATAACGATTTGCTCACATGCATTAACAGTATGTATCTATGATAGCATTGCTTTGTGTGCTAAATTTCATTTTTACAAACCACTTTTGGATTTCTTGTGGATTATGAACCCAACCAATGAAAATTGAATGGAAAACAATAGGTCATTTGAAATGTGAACAGAAACACTGGCATGATTTGTGCCAGACTTTTAGGTACTGAGCGATAACAACAGCTGTTTTCTACATTTAAATGAAAATGTTGACTGGTTGGATTATCAGTCTATCGCTGTATCACTGCTTTTTTGGGGGGTTTCTTAATTGTTACAGGACTTTGATTCAGATGATATCTGAAACAAGGCTTGTTTCTGTTTTTCTGTAGTTGACCCTTTACCTCCCAGAAGTGATTAACATGTTATTTCTCCCTGTAATATCCATACAGTACTGAACAAGTAGGTAATGAGAATACTCAAACTTATTAGGTAAAAGTTACCTTGATTTAATACCGAATTCTCCCAGCTACTTCACAAGGAAATGCATAGCAGCTAGAGGGGAGAATTAACCATCAGATCATGGGAGCTAAAGGTTTAAGAAATTTACTGCTATGAAGAAAAAAAGAAAACAGTCAAACTACATTATTTTGTAGTAGAAAATTAATTTGACCTAAATTCGTCTTAGACTGTAGCATAAAGATTTTTATTGAAATAATTATTCACCCAAGTGTTGGTGAAAGAGACATGTTTAACTTGCCACCTTAATTGTCTCTGTAAATATCCTCCACTATTCCCCTTCACTTAAGTTAATAATTTTGTGATATTTGATGAGAGCACAAAGAAAGATCAAAACAATTTCTTTGAATAAATTTTTTTAACATCACATTAAAAGCTGTCATGTCTGCTCTATAACAGATGCATGCCAGCATTTTAATCAGTTTTTTAGGTACAGTAATAAAGTAATGATAAGTGATGCTTTATTTAATTAACAAACCAACGAGTTCATGACTGAAAATTTCTACCTCAAAATTTTTATGCTATTTTGAAGTGATTATTGTATAATAATCTTGTCTTTAAGATAATGAGTCAGCAGAGACGTCAAACACTGGATGAGTGGACCAAAATTGTTGAAATGGTTCTATTTCACAGTGCCTGTTTTGCTTCGCAACTTATTACCAGTGAGTGAACCAGGTAAACAAAATTGATGTAGGCCAAGTTCTGGTCTACTTAACTCACTTCTTATTTGCAGTCTGTCTTGCTACTGTTTCTTTCTTTTTTGAATCTGAAAGATTTTTAGATTATGAATTATTTTTTCATTGTGAAAGACATGACATAATGCCTTTTCTTCAAAACTTGTAGTCTGAATTTTTCAGTGAAATATTTCTGGCATGAATGACTATCTTGCTGGGTGGTACCCTGATTAATCTGACTGCCAGTCTCTTACTGGCTGCTTGTCTCAGTCACTAACAGTTTATCTAACTGTATGTCTGACCAATTGAATAACAGCCATAAATTATTAGTTGGAACAACCAAGCTGACTGAGACATGCACACAGACATGCTGACTACTGCTGTAACTGACCATGTGAGTGTCATACTTAGTGACATATCAATTGACTCTAACAGACTCACTAATTGACTGCCTATCTGCTGGTCTTATTATTCTATGACTCATCCATCATATGCTGGCCAGAATGACCAACTTGCTGACAGACATACTGCCTTAGTTTGCTTTTGTGACACCTAGTTTGTGGACATATACTGACTCACTGAGCAATTGACTGAGTTACTAATGTATTTTCAGACCCTGGCTGATCAGCAGAATGACTGTCTGAATAACAGACATGTTAACTCAGCCATTGACTGCTGGCTTAAATGACCAAATTGTTAACTGATACACTGACTGACAGACTATCAATGGATGACTCAAGTAAAGGATGACTTGTCCAAAAGAATCATTAACTGACTGACTGAGTGTTCTCCTGACTTATGAATAATTTTCTGTTAACTGCTAGATTGAATGATCAACTTTTTTAATGATATACTGATTTACTAACCATCTGACTTGGACTTAAGATGTACTTACTCACTGACTGGTTGACGGACTCATTGATTTCCAAACTGGCTGCCCGAGTTACCACTTATCCATTCGGTGCCAGCTTGAATGACAAAGTTCCTTACTGATATGGTGATTTATTGACTGTGTGACTGGCTAAATGACAGACTTATTTACTGACAGAATGACTGACTTGCTGATAGACAGACTCGTTGATTGAGTGACTTACTGTCTGCAAAACACTGAATTTTTAACTTGTGTATCAAATGCTGCCTTGAATGTCCAGCTTTCTTACTGAGCTAACCTGACAAAACCTCACCTCTTGACTTTCAGATTTACCTTCACGCTTGTTGTCTGACTGGTATATTTAGGTGTATTAACTTACGTATTAACTGCTGGCTAGAATAAGCAACTTGATGATGATACATTTTACCCTGTCTCATTGCCTAGTTTGTTGATTGATCAACTGGCTGACTGACTGAATTGATTTACTGACTTTATTGACCGACTTGATAGGCTGACTTGATGGACCTACTTGATGGACTGACTTGATTGGCTGACACTCTACTAACCTATCCATTGTCAAATTACTGACTGATTGTTCATTGGGGTGTTTTCACTCACTTATCAACTGCTGGCTGAAATAATCAACTTGTTGACTGATACATTTACATTGATGTAAAAAAGGATTGACTAAACAATTAGCTAACTGATTGACTTGTCAACCTGCTAATGAACTTGTGGTTTCAATTATGACCAACTTGCTGACTGTCTCACTGACTTACTGATCTCTTAACTGTGAGATTCAGTGACTGACTATCTGTCTCACTAACTAACTAACTGGCTCGCTAACTGATGTATAATAAGCTGATTAACTTTAAAAAAAACTGAGTCGCAGAAAACATTTATGAATCAACAGGCATACTCATCAATTTACTCATAAATTGACCAACTGACTGACTGACTGAAATGATGGCTTAAATGATCAACTTGCCACATGATACATTTACTCAAGCATTCAGACTTATAAAGGACCTCTGTACCATCAGACTTGCTGGATGACTGAATTACAGACCTACTAAATCACTAAAATGAGGTGGAATTACTAACTGACTGACTATCTGCGCAACTGTTTGAGTGAGTATCTTATTGATAGAGTGACTGATTCATTAAATGACTC